ATAAATTTAATCTGTGTTCAAAACGTTCACTAGACCAGGAGGACCACTGGCAGTTGTCCTTCTTGGCTCAGTTGGAGAAAGCTAGCTATACATTATTGAACTGAAAAACACTTCTTTGAGTCTGTTGTCTGTTGGATTTGAGTTTGGTTAATTATTAATGGTTAGTGAATCTCTTAGAATGTTGACAACACTCAAAGAGACACTATGACTTTTCTGGTTAAAGGTCAGCCACCTACTTCTTTCCTTGGCAATGTTATTGCTTTGCCTCGAATATCCCATAGTATGACATTTAACTTTTCTATCTTCATGGAGACAAACATGTGATGCCACTCGACCACGTTACAGGCAAGATCTGTGGAGAGGAGGCTAGCTCACAGTAAGAATACATGTTTTTCACTGGATTCTTAAGCAATTAAAACATATACTTGAATAAATGCAAGGTAAATCAGTATGGTGTGGAACATTACAGACAAAACAATAACATTTCAGAGACAAACCGGTGATGGACCCCCCCTGCAAGGAAAGTTACATAGTGCATCTTTAATTATAACTGACTCAAATACTGAAACATATACACTTTTGATTATTTTATTTTCTAAATAAAATTGCTATATATCTACTTATAGTCAGAAGCTGGGTTAATTAGCATTTCTCACACAGGGGTGGGCGGGTGTGAATTACGCAGAATGAGCTCCATTATAGATGTCGGTAACTCAGCGCGGCATGACCAGACTTGTCCGTTTTCATAGGTATTGAACGGGAGTGTCTGCTGAGCCAATGTGGTGGGAAAGCCTCGAGGAGAAAACCCAGAAACTTTGTCACAGATATGAAACTGTAAAAGGAACTGAAGGAAAGATGGAGTCCATAGAGTAACAAATAGGAATGTCAAGATTATTGGTGATTATTCAGGTTACAAAAGAATCATAACAACTAATAAAAACTAAAAATCATGACAGTTTTAGGAGTATGGCATTAAACTTGTTTATCTCCATGGAAACAAGCAGGTGATGCCAGAGTTACAGGTCAAATCTGTGGACAAGCAAATTTCAGTTCAACCTATACACCAAAAAAGTAAGCCTAAATGTAAAATGTGTTTTATATGTCCACTTGTGGCATATGAAAGATGCATGATGTACCTTTTCTGGGCATACGATCTGCTTGACTGGTCGAGATGGTTTTGCGTTGCCAGGAATGTTCCACAGTATGGCATTAAATAGATATCTTGTATTTTTCTTTCAATAATGTGCATTTTTAATACCTTAATGCATACATTTTTAATAGGATGGGCTCTCCTCTCCACAGATCTGTCCAGTAACTTGATAGAAGAGTTTAATGCCCTACTGTGAAACATTATGCAAAATGGGGAATAAGCATGAGACGGAAGTTACAAAGTGCACCTTTAACTTTACTTTTATGTTCAGAAAGTTTGGTTTCATAAAGCTGATCACACACTTGAGGAATGGCAAGTATAATAAAAGCAAAATGGGAATTTCACTGTTGTTTGTAAATGGTATCAATAATGGCAAAAAAAAACAAAAAACACTGATGTAACTAGGACTAGAAGATGTGGCAATAAAATAAAATAAATAAAATAAAAAATAGCTTTCAGTATTGCTTTCATGAACATAAACTAGACAGAATTTTAATCACAGCCATTAAACAATTTAACACAAGAACTAGCCCAAAACCATACTCTTTTACTGACAGAGATTTGGCTGTGGACCTCTTGATTAATATTCCCAAGCTGATTAATGATAAGAAATGACTAAATCTTGATTAAAATTAAATCAACACAACATTTTATTATTGTACCATCTGTAGTGGAGGCCAAGACTCTGACTGAACTTCCTCCTCTCTGGTATTGGAATGTGAAGAGTGACATTAGCATCAGTGGATACATGTGAGGAGGGACATAATGATCCACTTCCAAATCAAAGGCAGACACTTGTTTTTCCCAGTACACAGAAACTCCATTCTCCTGCTCTGTTTACTGCAGACAATAATGAGAAGAGCATTTCCTCTAAGTGCCATTACGACAACATCACCCAAGGACGCCTACCAATATGAAACAATGTACAAATCTATTGTCCCTGTGTAATGGCGGAAGTGTGCGTACTTAGAAAGCCTGGCAGGAGCCATTCAGTAACCATTTAAAACAAGATCTCCAAGGGATTTTGAGAGGAAGAGGCTTTGTTGTTTTCTGTTCATTAATACAGGAAAAATGTACCCTGTACGATCAGTTCCTGTCATGACAATTAATATATGCTGAGAAGTTCTAAATGTTGTCAATTTTTATAGATGCATTACAATTATAATATCTTAGTTCTGTCAATGAATGCTTTTTATAATTATTAAAATGAACTGTATGTAGCTTGACCTCTTACTGTTTAAAAAATGAGCTACAAAAACTCTGATTAAATAACATCAAATTATAACGTAAATAAAATCAACATCATGCCCAATGTTTCTGTTTATTAACTGACCTGAACATGTTAACCTTGCATATTTGGGGACACAGATAGGTCAAACTTTTACAATTTAAAATCAAAATTGTATACAGTTCCTTTAAACACTGGTATAGGAATATAAAAATGTGTACAGTAATGCAAAACATTAAGCCTACTAAGCCTCATAAACCATTTTATTGGGGCGTTCAGCATGAGAAAGCTTTCATTTGTAAACATTGATGGATGCTTCAAGAATTCAACTTTAGGTTTTTTTTCTGAATGCCTAGTTTTATAGAAACTTCAAATAAGACCTTTATTCATCTTTACTTTACCAGAGAAGCTAGACCAGAAAACTGCAGAAATGTGGTCCAACCAATCAAATGCTATAAATTTGCTATTGTCCTCGTACATTCAGATTCTCGGTCAAATATAGCCTATAGTAAAGTCTATACTGAGAACAACAAGGCAGAGGAATCTATGAGAATCAGCAGAACCACAATGCATTGGTGCCAGTCGGGAGTAACCACTACAGTCTTTAAAGCCACATCAGAAATAGGCCACCACCAAAACGGACCATAATCCCACATTGAAGACAGCATAGTGCCAGACATGATTGCTTTTGCGGGACTTAGAGGGTGGCTGCAAATTGTTGGGTATTGTTGCAGTGGATGGGACTGTCAGGTGGAGGATCTGACTGCAATTTGTGGCTGTGTGGGACGGCTGAGCTGCAATAGGTGCTTACCCTAAATAGCACAAGAGACAGACGATTGTGCCCAAGATTCCCCTGACTTTATCTAGGAAGAATTAGGGAAATTTTGGAGAGTTAAAGGTGCACGGTGTAACTTTTTTGGAGAGAGTCCGCAACCTGTTTTGTCTCTATGGAGATGTTACTGTTAAATTGGGCAAGGTATAGTATTAACTCATCTGCCTTGCATTTATTGCTCAAAAATATCTTTAAAAACATAAATTCTTATTGTGAGTGGACCCACCTCTCTACAAGCTTGTCTCCATGGTGATTTTAAGTTCATGGTCATACTGTGGAACATTCTATGCACAACATTCTAGACAAGCAGGTGTTGGATGCTCCACCAAACAAGTTACACAGTCCACCCTTAAATTCATTGAAAAAATCTAAGGATAACATGTGCCAAAACTGTGTAGAGTTCCACTGTCAAAAGTATCATAAATCAAATAATAACTGATACAAAAACAAGTATTTCAACTAGATGCTCATTTGAGCAGAAAAGAACCTTTCCCAAATAGTCTTAGAATGACCTTGAGGTGTATCAGAACAAGTATAAAACCAGATAGACTAGTATACACCCATGGACCAGTATGGAACCTACCTGGACCACTGAGGGATTACACAGCTATGAGGCCACATGGTAATATAAAATAAAGTTCTATGATGTAATCTTGAAAATCATATTATATTGTATAAATAACAAGTGTTTATTATCATTGTGGTATTGGACTCAGTAATGAATATAAAGTCTATTCCTTAGTATCAAATAGAGTTTGAAATTTTAGCAGTGAAACTGTGTGAGTTTTATTATCCAGGTAAGAGATCACATCTCTTTTTCTTTCTCTTTTCATTTCATCACTTCATGCAAATCATTGTCACCACAGCAGCCAATAGTGTTAATTGTTTATTTTGAATATTCCTTCTCAAACTAGCTACATACTGTCTTGGATCCTGCTTTAGAATTAGGGCTGCAAAATTAATTACAATCCCAAACCCTAACATACACAATATCTTCTGCATCAAAGCTGCTAACCCTGTAATTTAGATTTGTACAAATATGGTCTGAAAAGTGATTCTTGTATTCATTTGTCAGTTCTTCTGTATGCGTTTCACAAATCTAATCGTAATAGTCATACTTTTCCAAAAAAATATTGCAATTAAAATTTCTCCCCTGATTGTGTAGCCCTATTTAGGATGCTTTCAATCAATACTGACACTACTACTTCACCGCTGTGGCCACAATGACAATGTGCTCGTCTTAGATGAAAACTGAACTGGAGACTGTTCTGTTGGTGGGACAAATACTGCGCCATAAGTTACAACTAAATAATTATTCCTTTACAATTTAGTATTTAGTGCAGAGTAAAGTAATATAACCCAGCCTACCAAAGCATATATTAAATTGTAATTTGCATATAAAAATATATAAGACAAAAACTACACTATACATGTAAAATTGCACAACACTGAAATACTGTCAAGGTTGAGTCATTTCAAATCTATTCCAAACAAAGATAATCTTACATAAAAGATTTAACACTGCAAGATAAGGCTACACTCTCGTTTTGTTTTATGCAAATTAACAGCCTTTCTACGTTAAAAAACTAAGTAGAGGAGAAGAAACACAATCATAGGTAGTTAGTAACTCGAGACCAGGCATCAACCCTGTAACATTATCTGTCATTAAGCAGTCTTGTGTAGTTTACAGTTTACACAGGGGGCCTATGTAATTACGTTATTCCAGTGTAGCCTAGTCTCCACCACCACCTAGACTGAATTTACATGCTATGGCTGTACCGTGCTCTTACCTCCGCGACCATTCCTTGATGATCCTCGACTCGGCGTGTCGTCCCAGCCGTCCAAGTATCTCCCCACACAGCCTCCCATGATCAGCGGGCTGGGGCTCGTCTCCCGGGCGGGCCACTAGCTCAACCGGGCGCCCATCATCGCAGCAGAGGAGGTGGATCGGTTCGGTGAAATCAAGTGGAGAGATCGGGCTGCTGCTGCTAATGGCTAACAGTGAGCTTAGCCAGCCACTACAACATCAGTAAACACAAACTTCCCCGCGATCCAAGATATTTCTCAACACCGGGGCGTTTTACTTGACTCTTTGGGTTGTGTAGTGGCATCTCCCCGCAGTCCTCGGCGTGTCACTCGGGTTTCTTGCCGTTTTTTAGGGAGGTTTGTGCGTAGCTCTCCCAAACTACTTCCCTCTCTGATGTTGGGAAAAGGTGACTACTAGCACGCGAGCTAACGCCACCGAACTTTTGTTAACGCATGCGCACAACGGCCAGCAGGTGTGCAAATTCTGTATTGGGTGTTAAATAAAGCAATAAAAACTATTAAAACCCGGATAAATGCAACGCATTCCAGGAAATTATAATATATCACAAAACCTATTTTGTTATATTTAGTTATATTACTTAGTTTAATAAAGTGCGATAATTTGCAAAGTGTTCTTCGTTGCAATAAACCAATAAAACACGGATAATGTAACAAGATTCAAAATGTTATTACAAGCTATATGGCCATATTTAATTTGTTTAATGAAGTATGTTAATTTACAAACTGTTAATTAATAGAATTCCGACAGTACATGAAGGCAACGCAATAAAAAAACAAAACAAAAAACTAAATGTTTTTTCAAGTTTTAGCTGTAACATAACACTGGTTGAATATAAACTTGTGTGACAACGCTGTTATAAAAAAAGTTTTACTTTACATTTTTTCGTTATCGATTTGGCTAACTTTTTGCGCATGCGTACTGCCTCCCATGCTCCCGAAGGCATGATGGCAGCGGACAGTGCAGTGGTGCTGGGTTTGGTGGAGGAGTTTGTGTCTGGATTGGTAGACAGCAAGGCCAAGGACGCCGCAGCAGGTAGCACACTCACGTCAGACTATTTTGTGATCATTTCTCCTTCGTGGCATATTATAAAATAACGCCGATGAAGTTGTAGCGCTCTCGGAAGGATGCTACACAAGCTAACCTTAGCGCCCCAACATCCTGTGTGGTGTGTGACCGCATGCTACGTCTGTATGTGATTATTGTTCACTATTATACACCTTTTAAACATCGTGTGAGATAAATCAGAACGTATACCTTTGTTTGCAGTGTTGTCAGTTAAAGCGTTTGCACTGTTAATGCTTATTTAGTGTGCTTACAGGAGTATCTGTGGTTGACTTGTGGCTAATATTTTGTAAGCATCTTGTCAGTGAACTCTGTACCTTTGACCCTGGCTGATGCTACAAATGTGTCATTAACTGGAGAACAAAGTCTGGCCATACATTGTCACTTATTGTATTGAGCTCTTACATGAAAGTAATAATAAGTTGCTTTGTTCCAGCTGTCAAAGATGGACAGTTCACAGTTCTGCAGCTGGTGGAGGCACTGGGGTAAGTATTAAAAAGTTCAGGACTTGTCCTAGCAAAATTTTTACAAATTAGAATTGCATTATGTTCGTAGTAGGGATAGGATGACACATGACTTAAGATTGGATCTACAAGAATGAGACAAGATGAGATTTTGATATAATTTATGGACAGATTGTGCAGTTCTGTTCACAATTTTGAGACCGGTCTGGCTGCGGATCACCACCCAGAGGACGCAGTTTGCAGACCTCTGTCAAGAGGACCCTCATGTGACTTACCTCCATCCACAGGTTCCTAAAATCAAACGGCAACCATGCCAAAAGACAGTCAAAGTTTGTGAGTTCCTAACTACTGTTTTAGATGGAACCAAACATTGTTTTTCATTAAAATGCAAACCCTTTTGTTTACCGTAACCATTACAGATTTGTGCCTTATCTTACCCAGACATTTGAAATGAGCTTTATCACCTTCATAACCTTTAGTGTAACAACGGATAAAAAAGTGTAATCAAGTTATTTAAAAAAGTAAACTAATGAAAAATGGTGTCGGACATGTCAGTGGAGGTGCACCCTGGTAGAGGGGTCAAGGTAATGCTGGGTGAAAGTTAGCAGCCAGACTCTCTTGACAATTTTGGCCTCCTCAATTTCTATTTAATATTTTTGCTGTCATTGTTCCACTGCTTTTTGGAACTACAGCTTCCCAGGAGATGTAACTCAGCAAAGCCCTTTAAACCCCTTTTTGTGGCAAATGTAAACACATGGCTAAAAATCTCACAAGATAATTCCCTATCCCTAATTCCCTTAAGTGTTTGAAATACTCCAGGAGGGATCATGTCAGTCAAGTTATGTAATTATATAGGAAAACAATCTAATTATAGCTGTCCCAGTAGAACAATAGGAATTAATACACACAAAAAGTAATGAACCTTTTATTGCCTTTGTGGGTCATTTGCCAAGAGAAAAACGATAAACCTAACATATTTGACATTTGTGTTTTATTAATGTTATGTATTAATATTGTACAAATGCTATGTTGTAGCTTAAGTCTGACCAGCTCCCAGCCCCACACTCGAGCCAGAGGAGTACAGCTGCTCTCTGAAGTCTTAAATGAATGTTCTGGAAGTCTCACTGAGAAAGAAGGTACATAATTTTTTCTACAGTGTTTGTAAAATAATAAATAATAAAAAATGTATTTCAATATTTTTCTTGCATTCTTTTATTTATAGTTGAAGTTCTTATTGCCTTCTATGAAAACCGACTAAAGGACCATTATGTCGTCACACCTCCTGTCTTACAAGGGCTCAAAGCTCTGGTAAGTTCTGTCTAGTGGGAAACTTATAATGGTACACATCTCCAATATTAAAATATTTTCTCCATCTTTTTTCTAGACAAAATGTACAGTTTTGCCTCCTGGCTCAGCTGTGTCCATGCTGAGGTCTCTATTTCAAGATGTTCATGTTCAGGTAAAACAATGAATAATAATAAAAAATATTTATATTTATGTATTTCTGTGATCCTGAATGATATTTTTTATCCACAGTCTCTGATGCTGGCAGAGAGAGCATGTGTTTACAATATGCTACTCAACCTGATGGAGACCAGGGAGGCGGGTAAGTCTCATACTATTTTGTCAGAAATACTCACATTTGACAGTTTACCTGACTAATTTTAATCAATTTAGGACTTAATTCCTTCACTCTGTCTCTCTCTGACTCTCTCTCTCCTTCACTAATTGAATCCATGGAAAGTAAAAATGGGAAGCAAATATACCTTTTTCTGTATATTATATATATATATAACTGTAAAGGTGCACTAAGCAGCTTTTTTGCTTTTGGTGAAGATGTTATGACATTGCTTGGAATATTCCACAGTATGGCATTAAACATTATTTATTATGCATTTGTTTAATCACATTTATGCCACAGAAATACCTTGAAAAATGTCTCCTCTCCACAGAAATGACCTGTAACCTGGCCATGAGGATGTAGATCGATAAGTTTAGTTTAATGCCATACAGTGGAGCATTCTAGTTAAAGTAATTACATCTCTATGGAGACAATAAAGTGGCTGATCCTCTTAAGTTATGTGAACATTTTAAGTTATAAAACATAAATACCAATATAAAGCAAAACAGAACCCTTTTAAGTTGCTTCATCAATATATTTTTAATAATTCAGTCTTTTCCATGACGTTTCCTCCACAGAACTGAAGAGTTTAGGCGCCGACTTTGTCTTTGGCTTTGTCCAGTCCATGGATGGAGAGCGGGACCCTCGCAACCTGCTGCTCGCCTTCCAGATTGCTAGCAACATCATCTACCAAGGCTATGACCTAGGTATCATCCCCTAACATTCACCATCAATACCAGCTGTTTTGCTGATACCAATATCTGCTGTGACTGATAACAAAATGTGTGGGTCTTGCTAGTTACTCTAAACAGTAAATTTTGGTTAAAGTTTCCAAATTAACTTTATAATTTTTTTATAAAAGTAGAACAAAATTTATTTATGTGGGATATTTGAAATCATGTATTGCACAATTATTTAAACATACAGCTATATTTTTAGCCTAATTCCTCTTCTATTTCCATTCTTACTCATGAATCTTCAAAAAGACAAAGCTGATGCACTGAAGCTGAGAATCACACATGGGCACACGAAGGTTGGAGCAGTTTCTAAAAATACCAATAACAACACCTGTGAAAAACCTCTGATATCACTAATACTGATATTGGAACCATTATATCTCCCATTGCTACCATCACCTTTGGCGACAAGATGAATATGCAATTGAATCAAACTCACAGTTTGAATGGATGCAGTTAGCAAAGAGTAACCTTGTAGTTTAGACCTTTACAAACATATTCTGAAATAAATGTGATACTTATATTAAATTATGAATTGATATTTCAGTCTTCTCTCAAATATTAATGCTCCTGCACAGTGAAATAAATTGTGCACTTTGAACAGATTACAACTGTTAAAAGATAAAACATTTAATCGCAATCACAATGTTTGTCACAATCCCACTTAGATATTTATCAAAAATCAACTACAATTGCCTCTCTTCTGGTCATTTTCAACATTTCTATATTCACTTTTCCTCAGGTAAATTTGCTGAGGAGCTGTTCGAAGTGACATCGTGTTATTTCCCCATCGACTTCAGCCCTGTAAGTCCATGTTTACTCAGCTGCTGTTGGACGGGGAGTTGATGAAAACGCGGAGATTTAGCAGACTTCCTGTGACCTCAGACGACCCACATAGGAAACAATAACCTGAAATCTGTTTGTGTCGGCGCTGCACGTTTCCCTCGGCAGCGTCACAGGGGTCAAAGGTTGTGTGATTGTTTTAGTCGCTCATGTCAGTTAGTCATAATAAGAATATGAGTGGGTTTTACATGGGCTGTTTCAAATTTAGTAGGTCTTAAATAACTTGCTTGTAGAAATAGGCAATGTATTGAAAAATTTATAATACTGCTATTGTTCTTCTAGTGAAAATTCATAAATTGAATAGTATATAGTCTTTAAAGGTGCAATGTGTAACTTTTCTGGTGGAGAGTCTGCCACCAGCGTGTCTCCATGGAGATGTTATTGGGGTTTTTTTTCTGGAATGTCCCAGTATGCCATTGAATGTTTACTCAGTAATGTTTTTATTTACTTATTTATTTTTCTTTTGACCTAAAAACTTTGTTTCTGCGTTCTTACTGATGGGCTTGCCTCTCCATAGATTTGACATGTAAGTTGGCCCTGTGGTGTCACCTACTGTCTTCGTAGAAACACATAAATGTAATGCCATACTGTGGAACATTCCATCAGAAAAGTAACACAGGGCACCTTTTAATTAAAACCATTTAAAACAACATAGAAACTATCTGAATTAAAATGAAATAAACATAAATAACTAGTGTAATATTCCAGAGTATAATGTGGTATTTATGCACTTTTGTTGTTAGTTTAGTTTATTTAGTTTAGTTCATTCAACAGGGACCATTTGTAAACGCATTTATCTCAAAAAGGAAGAGATTGTTTACACCAAACTGAGCTAAAGCTAGTTTCCATCTGCAGTCCCCAGGCAGGTTAACAAACAATTGTTAGAATACTTCAAATATCCACTCATTTACAGTCAAACCGTGCAGTCTTTAATTTTAAAATATCACACTCCACATTTCCACATTCAACATTCAACATTTAAATACTACGTCACTGATCCATTCATCTTTTATGAGATACTTGAACCTGAAAATGTTTACAGACAGATTTTATCACATTCCTGGTTGTTAAAACATTAAAACATTGTCTGACTCTTAGTATCGAGATGATCATGTTTATTAATATCCCCCACCCATACCTGCTAGTCTCACTATTTCACAGAAATGAGTTAATAGCACTAACTAACTATTTTAAATCTGTGAAATGTTAGTGTTTCCTGTACATACTCATTGAATTGAATACATTACTTCCTATATAATTAATAACCGTAGAGAGAAAAATTTAATTATTGTCATAACAGATCTTTTTTTTATTTCATTTATTTGACAGGAACAGTGTTTATGTAAAAAGGTAAAAAGTAATCAACTTTTTTTCTCCCCCCCTACGGTAGCCACCCAATGACCCCCATGGTATCACCAAAGAAGAACTCATCTTGGCATTGAGATCAATCCTGACTGGGACACCAAAGTTTGCAGAGGTATTATTATATTAATTTTCATTTATAGTGCTGTCCTGTTTTCTAATTTTACTGCATGACTTGTGTTGCAGTTCCTGTTACCACTCATCATTGAGAAAGTGGACTCTGATGTACAAAGTGCCAAGTTGGACTCCTTACAAACTCTGGTGAGAGATCTGATTATAACTGGACATCTGTCATCTCTCTGCACTGCCTTTGAACCTCTTTGGTGTACCTCTGTGACCTCTGAGGCCAAGCTGCTGTGCTACAGCAAAGGACTGTTCATAACTGGAGCATTCTGGAACAACACCAGACTGCTCTTTTAAATACAAGCCACAACCTGTCAGTGTTTCCAGAGCGAGAGGAGAGGAGACCACTGTGGCCCCTATTGATCTCAAGACCCACTTATACAGTATATTTGTACTGGGTCAAGACATATTTCGCCCAAATATATGGGATATAAGGATTGTTTGTGCATCATTGTTGTATAAACCTGTGAGGAAAACTGCTACTATTAGTGGAAAATTGTGTTTAAACCTCTCTTCATTTTCTAATTGTTAATTGTGTTGTACAGGCTGCCTGTGTCTCTCAGTATGAGCATAAAGACTTAGCAGAGTTCCTAGAGGGGCTGTGGACATCCATTCGTAGAGAGGTCAGTTTGACTTGATTATTGATTTCACCTCTACTAAAATGAACCCGTACAACTAAAACAATTTAAGGCCAATGCACACCAAATGTGTTATCATGACAGGCCTAGTACTCGCTGTATTGTTTCTATTGAAGAACAAAGCTTCATATGTTGTGCCTTTGCAGGTGTTTCAGACCTCCAGTGAGAAGGTCGAGTCTGCAGGTCTCTCCGCTCTCACCGCACTCACTTCCTGTGTCTCTCGCTCCGTCCTCAGCTCTGACTCTGAAGACTATCTCAGCAACTTCCTCAACCTGGTTATAAAAGGTGACACACATACTACCACTGACACATAACAAAAATATAAAGTGCATGCGACAGCTTTTCAAGCTGCAGGTTTTCTAATCATTACTTGGTGAATATTTATCATAGTTATATCAGTTAGTGCAATTTTGTGGAAATAAATGTTGAAAAGAAAAGTACAAAAATATGGAATTCATCTACCTCTGTCTTCAACGTAAAATTCCCTCCAAAATGCAGGGACAGTTTACTCTCAACGAAGGGACTTTCTGGAAGTTTAAACAAAAATTAAGGTGTTGTGATTAATTATTTTTGTCTAATCTATCTTTTGTGTTTAGACAAGTTTTGGCTGTAGACCTGTCGTATGCATCATCTACATTTATAATAATAGTAAAAAAGTCAAATTTCATACCAAGTCAGTCCAAAGTGTTGCATGTGAAACGTGTCTGTTGCTCTCCCTCATCACCTGAATGTGATGCTGTTGCAGACTGTAAGCACCATCTGAGTGAACCAGACCTGAAGCTGGTCTGGCCTAGTGCCAAGCTGCTGCAGGCAGCCTGTAGTGCCTCCATCAGGGCCAGTCACATCATTACAGCCTCCGTCATGCCCAGCCTCATCGAGCAGTACAACACCAGGACACAGGTACTGAGATCAATATTCAGATGTAATACAGTAAAGTGTTTTGCATGTCATAAAACATCTGGGAGGTTTGAGTAGGGCTGTATGATTAAAAAAAATGTAATTGCAATTCTTCTGACAAGTTTTGCAATTGTGATTTAGATTTTGTGATCAGGATTCAGTTCATAGAGCACATCTGAAACACATCCAGGGATATAAAAATTAGAAGTCTGAATTATGAATTGTTAAATTAGTAAAAAACCTTCTAATGCTTTTCAGAAAATGTTGGTAAAGCTCTTAATTCATTTTGCCATAAAGAGATAAGATACTTTGTTTCTGCAGAGGGCATTCTTTTACCAAAAAATAATTTCTGTTTTTCCTTTATGTATTTGTGCCAACTTAAATTTTAAATTGATTATGATATTCTGCATGCCTCATTTGAAGTTATACTCAAAAGTGTATTTCTTTGCCTTTGAAACTAAAATAGATTCAGGGAGCAAAATAGTTTAAGTGGCAATTGTATTTTCAAAAAACAGTGAATGGTCAGAAGGCAGAATGAGACCAAATCAGAAAGTGAACAGCTAAGGTGCTTAAAAGTTTAAGTTTTGATCCTAAGAAGTGGCGTTAAGTTTGGATTCACCCTCTTAAGCTCGCTAAACACTACAGAATTTTGCAGTCTTAAAGAGTTTTAAACGTGAGACACAAAGTGCAGACCACAGAGATGAGGTGTATCATACGCGATTTAAAATCTTAAAATCCTCCGAGCATAAAGACTGCATTGCAGTGAAGAGACCACACACCACAAAATAAAAGCTGTGAGTGCACCTTGTGTCAGCTCTTTCCTGTCTACTGTAAAGCAACTCACTTTGGATCTTTGTATGTGAATTAATCCTTTAATCAAGCCTCAAAGTCACATTACGCCTCCCCAATGTCGGAGAAAAGCAAACTGGATAAAAAATGTCTGTGGCAGGCTTTAAATAACAGTAGTATTATTCTATCCAGGTAATTCAACAACTATAACTTTAGATTACACACTTGCAGTGTGTATTACTGGTTACTACATTTCTCTTATTTTACAGTGCTCGCACCGGCGGACATTACTAGAAGTGGTTCAGAAATTTGTTCAGTCTGTGAAATTAGTCAACACACCAGAAAATGGTAAGTGCACAATAAAATAATGAAAAATTAGCAAGACAAGAAAAAAAAAGAAGCTTAATATGTCTCCTTCTTCTCCCTGTAGAGGACAATGCTTTATCAGAGTACCGTTCTTCATTGTGTAGCATAGTCTTCTCTGCCCTCAGTGAAACCAATGACAGTCTACAGATCACAGCCACGCAAGTGCTCACTTCACTGACTCAACAACAAGGTAAGATAGTTCCACTTTTAATGTTTTGGTGTGCATTTTTTGTGTTAAACATCCATTTTTGTTTCCTAGGTCTATTGGAAGAATCCGATATAGAACTGGCCGTGGATCATCTGACCAAACTGTTACTAACGGAGGAAGACGAGAGAGTGTGGTATTGTTGCCTAGTCCTAATTTTTAAAATTTAATTTTTTTTTTTTTTTTTTATTGTGATCTATACAATTTTGAATCTGATATGTTTTTCTGTCAAGCCTTGCTGTAGTAGAATGCATTGGGGCTTTAGCAGTATTACATCCAGAACAGTTCATCTCTAAAATGATTCCACGACTGAGGATTGAAGCATTTGCAGGTAAGACATGCATGTTAGTATTATAAAAAGTAAAAAAAAAAAGAACTATAACCACAACTGAACCTGAGTTGTCAATGCCTTTACCTGCAGATAGAAGACACATACAAAGTTTCTCTTGAGACTGGCAATTTCAATGAGAGTCTCATGTGGCTCTGATTGGATAATAAGCACAAAATCATAAAATTATAACAAACAACTTCAACATCATATCCAGTGTTTTTGTAATCAAGAACGTGCACTATGTATGTTATTGATAAACTGACACTTGTTTATCCCTATGGACATGTTATTGCTTGGCCTGGAATGTTCCACAGTATAGCATTAAACATTACTTACTTGGGTGGGTCGCCTCTAGAGATTTGACATACATTCCAGGCAAAGCAACGACATCTCCATGGAGAGACACAGGTGGCAGACCCTTCACCAGAACTTACACAGCGAACCTTAAAACATCAGATTAACAGTATTGAACTTACTTGCGCTTGGTTTTGTCTGAATTTCATAGTGGAAAAAAAAGTAGATTTCATAAGTGCGGTTTGTATTGTATTCTATTTTCGTATACAGTACCGATGGATGAAAACAGTTTAGAAGCAGCTAAACGCCCCTCTCATCAAACCGTCCGTCAGCGGTGTTTGACGGCTCTGGCCTCAGTCTCCTCTCAGCCCAGTGTGGTCCAACAGAGCACGCCTGTCCTCCTAGAGCTCATCTCGGCTGCACACACAGGTACTTGAACCATTCACAAAAATATATATAAAATTGTACTGATTTTAAAGGCACTATGTAACGTTTTTGTTAGGGGTCTGTCACTTGCTTGTTTTTATGGATATGTCACCACTCTGCCTGGAATATTCCACAGTAATCCACTTTAATGTCTTACTGCTATAGATGTGCTATAGAAATAAACAGAACTACCTTACATGTATTCAATTACAGGTGGTTTTATAGCTCAATAATACTTAAAAAATAGCCATTCTTGCTTGGTCTACTTACTTGGTCTGGCTTAGTCTCCATGAAGATGGAAAGGTTTAATACCATACTGTGAAACATTCCAGACAAAGGAATAACATTTCCATGGAGAAAAGAGTTTGACGAACCCTCCACCAGAAAGTTACACAATGTATCTTTGAATGTATTATGCAAAATCTACTTTGATGGAAATGGTTTCTGTTTGTTTGTTTGTTTGTTTGTTTAGGTAGTGTCCCCTTCACCATCGAGGATGTGGTGTTGGCATGCCGGAGTCTACAGAGGATAGCAGAGCAAGTTCAGGACACAGAGGAGACCGGGCACTGTTTTCATGACATCATTATCCCGCGCCTGCTGTCTCTGACACTACAGGCTGCTCTTCAGGGTGAGTCTACTACTTCTGACATATTAAGGGTAATATTATGTGCTAGCAGTTAATACTGCATGGACATGTTATACTTCCTCTGAATCAGGAACTAAAGAATCCTACTCAAATCACCTAAAAGTAAGGAAATAATAATAGCAGCTTATTTACATTCCAAAACTATTTGTTATTTTTAGGTGAAGATGCACCCAGACCCAGTCCTTTGGTGGAGGAGAGTGTTCTGTCTGCTATGGTCCTAGTCATTGGTACATCCTGTTCTAAACTGCAGCCCAAGTCAGTCATATTTCAGTTTATCACAGTAGAAATGACTCTTACACTCTCATTTATAACACCTCTCTGCCTGTTCTCTACATCCAGGTTGGCAGAAGAAACTGCATCTAAAGCAGTGTCTCTCTTTCTAAATGGCAACATCTCCTTTTTGCCAGACAATTCATTTCCATCAAATATTCAACTTCTTAAGGTTTGTTTATGATGCAATTCTACAGTGACCCGCTGTAATCTGAAGTGAAGTCATCCTTATGATGTTATCTTTTTGACCGTTTCCAGGGCGACTGTTGGAGACAGTCCCAGATGGTTTGTCTGCTCATGGCTTGTGTGTGCTCTTTACCACGTACTGTAAGTATTGCTTCCTTTTTCAAGTTGTGTGGGTGCATATTTATCACACTGTAGGGACCAACACTTGTACACACATTGACATGATGGGGAACTGCCTAATTATGGGAACAAAAAGCAGGTCCCCCATCATTGTAAATTCTTTATTATCATTAGATCAGCAGCATGGTTTAAAGTGAATGGTGTTTTATCTTAAAACATCAAGACTAGTTTATTATTATTAAATGGTATGCAGTGGTCCAAAATTATTCCTCACTTTCCTAACTTTCAGAGGCTAGAGATTTTCCATCTCAGTAAAGCCAAAAGCAACTAGCATGTTGAAACTCTCTATAATTAGATGCAGACAAAACATAGCATCCTCATTTCGACCATTCTTGTACAATACATCTAGGGTGAAACTAATATTGTTAAACTACATTGGAAAAATCTGGTACAGCCTCCTTAACATATGGGTTAAAATAGAGATAGAGATAGAGATTAAGATTAGGCAAGTAGTAAGGTTAGGCTCAATTTCCAGAAAATGAATGTATGTCAGTGTAATGTCCAAGAAGCATGGAAACCCAGCAAGAGTTTGAATATGTGTATGTAAGTAAATAAATCATCTTGTGTTCTGTTTCATGCAGGTTGAAGTCCCACAGTTGGATGATCTCCTGTTCGCACTGGAGGAGCTGAGCTGTAGCTCCTCCCACACTCTGTCCTACACATCAGCGGCTAAGTGCTTCGCAGGCCTGGTCAACAAGAGGTCACTGGGTCAGTCTGGGTCTAGACTCATTATCAGATAATTGATCTAAAACAGGTTGAATCAATAAGATAAAACAAATCTGCCTTTTTGACTATTGTTAGTAGTCTGTTGTACTTACTTATTCAAGGATTTTAGGTTTTTGAATATAAATATAGGCACCATATTGAGTACTTTTGACCATTTTAAAAGCTAAATATAATTTTCTTTATCGTTAATTGCTATAATTGCTGTAGACTTAGAGTAATGTGCACCAGGTAACTTTGTCTTCTGCATTTGACCAATTCTTGAATACCACATCATGAGCAGTAGGCGACCACAGTGCAGCACTTCGAACCCATTTTAATTAGAAGCTGGAGGATTTGTCTATTAACACATTTTAGATTATGTCAAGTTAATTTAGGGAACTGTTACATGTTCAAAATGTAGTCTTAGGTAGCATTTAAAGTTTGTTTGTCTTTATCTAAAATCATGTGGTTATTTTCCTCAGGTGAAGCTCTGGACAGGCTCATACAGAGGACAGTGAAGAGGGTGTGCTCTGAGCTGGACTCTCCCATCTCCACTGTGCACACTCAAGCCTTCACTCTCATGATCTGGGTAAGACATTATCTTAATATTACCATTTCATCATTATCCTGAACTAGCATCATCAATATAGTTTCCATGCCAACAGGTTGCTAAGGCTCTTCTTCTTCGATACCACCCCCTGTCGACAGCTCTGACGGACAAGGTAAATAGACAAGCTGTACCTGATTTTTACTGTCTTAAAAACAGTGAGTTCATTTTAATCAGTTTGCAGTGGTCCAAAGTTATTGCTCACATTTTACCGCAATGATAGGCCTGTTTCACAAATTTCAGAGGCCAGCAACTAACATGCTAACAACACACCAACCTTCCTTCCTGTTTTGTGGACAGTAAAAAAGCTCTATAATTAGATTAGACCAAAATGAGAGCTCTATGTACTTCCTGCAAGAACTGCTCTTATATATCTGTACTGGGACAAAACAAATTATACTTACTTATGTGAAAAAAAATTGATACAGCCGCTTTAATGTACTTTGAAGAACAATATTAGTAGGTAGTATAGTACAGTGGGTAGTAATAAGTGGTATTTGTAATCATTTATTAAGTATTCATTGATTTTGCTTGTGTTTTTGTAGCTCTTCTCTCTGCTTGATGATGCAGAATTGGGTTCACTGGCAGCAGACGGCTTTTCTCTCCTCATGAGCGACTCCACTGACGTCCTAAATAGAGCTTGTCACGCAGACGTACGCATCATGTACCGACAGCGCTTTTTCAGTGAGAATTCAAGCAAACTGGTCCAGGGCTTCCATGCAGCCACAGGTACAGTACAGACAAAATCTGAAATAAAAATACACTGAATTTGAGTTTATATTGAAGTGAAGTGCAGTGACTAGATGCTCTTTATTTTTGCCTCTACCAACCCTTTGTTTGAAAATGCTTGTTCAACTTCTATTCTATTTCTTCTATTATACTGAAGGCAGTGCTATTACTTTTAACATTGGTAACTTCATTCTGCAGCTAACCTGTATATGGTGCCACAGTGTCACTTCTTACACTTTTAATTCGCAATTTCTTTACTACTATTCACTTTTTTAAAATGTTTAAAAAGCTTTAATTTGTCATTGTACTGTAGCTGGTTTTGATTAACTATTTTGACAAAAATGTAATGCCTGTTTCAGAAAGGAAGCCAAACTACCTAAAGGCTCTGTCAAATATCGTCAACAAACTGCCGAAGCAAGTGCAAGTGACTGAACTACCAGCAGTGAGTACCGTTTTATATATATGTATTAGTATTACTCTTACATGGTGCCATGGATTTTAAAATGTCTTCTGTCTTGTTCCAGCTCCTGTCCCTTTTGCTGGAGGCCCTGTCCTGTCCAGACCTGAGTGTCCAGTTGTCCACTCTGTCCTGCCTGGAGCCTGTGCTGGTGGACCCTCCCCCAGCTCTCATCCAGCAGCTGGAGGCTTTGGTGAGCAGGCTCCTGGCCCTCACGTCCAGCCCAGCCATGGTCAGTTTATGGTCCTGATTCTAGTGTAAATGTAACTGTATTTAGTTGGTACTAGTTTCACTATTGTTTTATTTCACTCTCCTGCAGGTTGTAAGAATAGGATCTCTGAGATGCATCCATGCTCTGTCTCACTTTCCTGCACATGAGGTAAAACCATTTTTCTAGCTAGTCCATCTTTCAAAAATGTGATCAACAGTATTTTAGTGGGACTACTATGAAAAAATCCAGAGGGGTGTACTAGAGCTAAACTTTTGTCACAAGTTAAGATAAAATGTTAAGTCTTAGAGCATTTTTACGGTGAAATCACTGATGAGAGGATCCACTGCCTACCAGATCACTGGTTTGCTTTAGAATGTTCCACAACATTAAACTAATCTAAAGCGGTGATGCCATCAGACCAAGGTACAAGTCACATCTGTAGAGAGGGGACCCTGCTTATATTACAAATGCAAGGATTTTGAGGTGTTTTTCAGCAATAATGTTTTTATTCCATACTGTGGAACATTCCAGGCAAAATAATAACATCTTCATGGAAACAAGTAGACACCTTAGAGCACCTTTAAATAAGAGTTCATATTTTCACGTTTAGTTTGTTTTTAGTGTTGTTTTAGTTTTTACTTTCCTTACAGGCATTTTATGTTAAAGTAAATTCTAATGTCTACTTTAAAACACGCACTGCAGATCTTATTTGTAAATGTCTGTATGAAATTTTTGTCTGTATGCTGTATAATATAGATACTGCCATTTCGAGCTCGGGTCCTGCGGGCTTTAGCCAAACCGCTGGATGACAAGAAGAGGCTGGTGCGAAGTGAAGCCGTACGGGCCAGAGGGGAATGGTACGCATCAATGACTATTCAACACTGACTACTATTACTACTACTACAGTGTGTCTAACAATATGGTATTTCTTCCTAGGTTTCTTTTGGGAAGTCCTGGAGGAAGGTGATTGTTTCCCTGGCAGTATTTTTACTTGACAACTAGTCCAATGTACTTTCTGATGTCATTCTCTTTTTTTAACACGTTTTGGCCTCCTGAATGTCATGTAACTGCTGATATTTTTATGAACGCACAAAAATCGAATCTTTAAAATCAGCACATGCATTAATAGCATAGTTGAATAACCATATTGAGATTTTATAACCATTAATGTATATGTTTTGTTTTTGAAGAAATGCTCAACCTTTTTATGTTAAAGCAAACTGACGTGTAGTAATTTAAAGTATCCACATGTATGCAGTTTATGCACTTGTTCTCTGTTAACCATAACAAGACATATCCTCTCATTTCAGTGTATTTGTATGTGTACATGTGTTATGTCCACATGAAATACTTGATTGTTTTGTTTTCACCAACTAAAATAAATATTGTTGCCATATTATATCAAATCCTGAGGCTGTTCTCAACCCTCAAACAGCTGCTGCCAAGGAATGAAGACAAGTTTGATATCAAACTAAAGATTCCATTAAATACTTTAATCTAAACCTTCTGTCTCTGTTTAATGTACTGTCATGTGTCAGTCATGAGGCCTTCACAGTCATAACAGACGAGGGTTCGCTTGTTTAAGCATTGAGTGCCACAAAGGAAACCTTGTGGTTTAAACTGGCAGGCAATGAAACCTAGTCTCACCTCGCATCCACCTAGTGTAATTGCTTCACCAAGAGCCTGATGGCTTCTGTTCAAGTGCCACAATAAACCTTATTCATTCTGTACAGAAATGTCACAATGATGTGACATCACCAAGACTTATTCATAAAAATGTGGTTAGGCTGTAACAAAGGTAAAGAAAACCAGACTATGAAAGAATGATTTTACTGAAAAGCCACAGGAGCACAGCTCCTCTCACTTTTGTTTCTCATTTTGGCCAGTACAGATTCAGCTTAGTCCTTAAGATGTGTGAAATACACAGGATCCTGACTTCACAGTGCCTGATAGTCTGTAAAGGCACACAGTATCCTGGTGTGCTTAAGACATATTTAAGATGGAGAAGGTGCGGTTTCTTTAATTTGCCCTTTTTGGCAAATAAAAAGATATTCATGTTTTTAGAGAAATACATATAAAACAGTAGCACTGGTCTGATAAGATGCAACCCAGCAGCATCTAGTAGAAAATTCAGCACTTAATTTAGTTCTTTGTATTCAACAGTGTGGCACTAATGGATAAAGGGCTGCTTTGTAAGAATCTCAAGTAAAGTTGTATAGTGGATATTCTAATAAAAATAAAGTATGCACACAGGTAAACAGGTCAGTAAACATGTGCAGTACAAATGCTGGAGCAGTCTTTGATATGTTGTTGGAGGTCAGATGGCCATAGGGTCCCTCCGGGTGAAGATGCTGTCCCACACAATACCATCTCCTTTGGGAAGGTGCGAGGAGGGCAGAAGCACCCGGGTTAACCAATGACTGAGAGAAAGGAACACACATGCTTTTAAAAACAAATAAATACACTACTGTTTTATTTCATATTTAGCACAACTTACCTTCTTTGTTCCACACCAAACAGCAACTTCCAGTTATTCATCCTACCATGATGATAAGGATTTCTGAAGACCTACACGAGAAAAACAGAACTTTAGATGTAAAATTGTATGCTGGTTACTTCACCCCTCTGACTTGATGTGCTATTACCCTGCCCCTCTCCTTGAGCCTTCTGGTCTCCTTCCTGTTGATATGGCGCTCCACACTGGTCTCTCCTCTTGTGATGAGCATTGTGTGCCAAAGAGTCAGTCCTCCCAGTGCAACTGCCACGGAGCTGCAGATAAAGGACTACTTAATTACTTGAAGCTTTATCCTCTATTTTGCTTGAATAAGGACGAGCACTGGCTGAAATTGACTAGGATTGCGCCACAGAAATAATTTTGTAACATTATTTTAAACTCAAAACTGTGTAAACAAACTCCTGTGACTCATTTTTCATTTCATTATTTAGCTAGGAATGTTCTTGGTCACACTATGATATTTTTCATAAGTTTTTTAAGTATATTACAGACAGCAAATTGCACTGCAGTATATTTATTGTTCACTCTCTAAGATACTATTTCTGCTACCTACCTGGTCAACACCCAGAGGAAGATGATACATTTGTGAGCAGTTGTCTCCATTATAGTGAACTCTGGTGGAGGGGTCTGGTAGTAGCTCTGGAAAAACACATTATGTAGTACTTCAGACATGTTTGCATTGACAATTTAGAGAATCCTTATAATACAATGACCTAATCAAATTGGGTTCTGTCATTTCACATTCACATGTCATTTCATCCTTTCTGGGCCTACAGTTGTTAGTAGTTTTATTACATCCATTTACCATTACAGCTATTTTGTTTCCTCTGGATTAAAGTCAGTATTCGGTTCCAGCATTGGTAATTCATGTTTTAATGGTGTTCCCTTATCATAATTATAATCAGAGTTGTATTTTGATAGATTCATACATGTTTGAGCAATGCCGAATAATCCTGCCATTGAGGTTTCAGTGCGCACAAAAATCCTGTTTCACCTACCTCCTACCCAACCCAAAAACCTGTACTCGGTCTTTGAAAAATTAAGACTCTACTCTTCTCCTGTTATTGTTCAATACTAAGTCCCTCAAAAATGCATCACATGTGTTCTTTAAGGTCAGTGGCGAGGACAGGGCAGTAATTTAACCTGACCAACTAATTCCTAAGATCCTTTGTTTACCACATAGGTCAAACTGCCAGGCCAAAGTTTATCTATCTCTAATTTCACTTCACATTGGCCATCTGGCAGGTGTGGTTTTTGTGGCTCCTCCCCTAAATCAAAAGCCCCACCCCTTATGCCATACCTCCACAGCATTGTAAGACTCAATGAACAGGCTCCAGCTACTAATGCTGCAGTAGACACAGCCCAGGGTCATGTACAGGCAGAAGGAGAAGAAGTAGCGGTGGTTAAAATGCCCGACACAATTGTTCAACCAGGCTGGGGAAATTAGAGTTGAGGTCAATGAAGAAGAACCACAAAAATGGGTAAAAGTAAACAGATGGTGGACTGCTGTTGTGAAGGATACGGCAGTGGTGGTCCATCTTCAGTATACATCTGGAAAACATGATGCACACATAATGTAGCCTTTGAATTTATTATGAAAAAACAAGAATAATTTTATTTTCTTACGTGCTGCAAATGCTACAGTGATGTGTCCTGGCAGGCTTAGGAGTGATGCATCTTTTGCACATAGATACTGAAGGAACATTGAGCTTATCCTAAAATGAAAAATATGTGTTTTTATATCAAAAGATAACAGTGATTATGACAACAGCTGAGAAGTTCTAACTCACTCAATTATCCCATATTAAAAAGAAAATTAAATAATCTTGGAATAGAGTGTGACGACACCCATACAGTTTGGTAGCCAGCCTGGCGCCACATAGAGCCTCCGCTTAATTTCATTTCTCTCCAGCAACTAGGGAATCGGAATACACTAGACTGTTTGCAAGAACCCTAGAAGTGTGAGTCCGGGCACCAGCCAATCAGCAAAGAGCCTACATTTTGTGTTGGGAACAATTCCCAAGATTGAGGATTAAAAGCCAGAACAAAGAGAATGTTTGTTGAATTTTATTAAGGGTAAAGACGTTATTGCCCTTCTTCCTACAGGATTTGGCAGGATTTGGGAAAAGTAAATATATCAGTATTTTTGCAGCAATTGGTTAAATAAAAAAGTACCCGCCTACTGTCGACCGACAAATCCTAATGCTGCGAGGTCAGACGGTTTCCACAAAGTAAAACCTGCTGATAAATCTGGCTAACTGTTCGGCTCCAGTCAAATGAAACTCACAAGGCTAGCAGTTATAGGAGTGAAAAGAGGGGTGACCATTTTTCATTGTAAAGTCAAGAGCCAGAGCCAGGGTTATTGGAGTCTGGCTCTTCCATCCTATTAGGAACGTGGCTGCTAGTGGGTTAATTAGGTCCATTAAAATATACAGTCTATGGGTGGAACACGAGACTGGGAGATAAGACAAGATTTTCACATATTTAATAATAAATCATTTGGCCTCACAATTTCTGTATTAATTGTACTTAATAATTTTGTTGTCATTCGACTTTTGGAACTATAGAACTATAAGTCTTAAGTGGTGTATTCAGCAAAGTTGAGTTTTTTTGTCCAAAGCAAATGTAAACGCATGGGGGAAAAAATCTCACATTTTTCTCAGGTGTGCATAATCTTGTGGCAATTTTATCTCATAAGATCTTGAGGCACGAGATCTCATTCCGTCCATAAGGAATTGTAGCTATGTGTTTCTGGCTTAGACATGACATATTTTTTACATGTTTTATATAGTTGCTGCAATGCCATCCTGACTTCTGTCTTACTTTCTATTTGAAATTATAATAATTCCTGTTACGGGCCCTGGCCCTTTGATATTTGTTTAAAGTACTCCCGTTCTTCTATAATTACTTTTGTCTGCGCATGATGCTCCCGGTCCGCGAGCCCTGGACCCGGATGCACGGGAGTACCCGACACGGGACGGAGGCTGGCGTCGCAGCGCGTCAGCAATTGGCCCTTCATCCCTGCGCTTCCACCAATCCGCGGATGACACCTGTGATAGCGGGGGATTGAAAAGGGACCATCTTCCGCCTGCTCGAGGCGGCTGGATTACTGCGGCCAGCTCGCCACTTGTGTTTGATGTTGGGTTGTCTCATTTTGTTATATTGCCGGCTGTTGCCTTGTTTAGTTCGTCGAGACACCTTTTTTGTTCGCAGTAAACCTTGAGTTAGATTTGGTACTTTGTATTTAGTTAGGGCTCTTTAGTTTATTAGATTATTTTGTTTAACTCCTATTTATTTTTCACCTTAATTGCCTGTTTTTTTGTCTTCCCTTACACTGTAAACAATAAATGCAAAATTTTTTGTTAAACCTTTAACATCCTGGTTTTTTTGTTACTTCCCTTTCTCCCCTAGCAAAGGGGACGTAACAATTCCTTTATGTTATCAGATTACTATAGTTATAAATAAATTACTGGTGTCCAATGAGGATAATTTCTTTTATTTTGATTGCACTGCTATCATTTTTAGTTTTGCTGCTGCTTTTTGACTACACCATTACAGCCCCAGGACTTTCAAATTCATTTTATCGTAATATCCCATATATTATTCTGACATATTCGATATTGCTCCAGAAACCAACGATGTTCCGTACCTTGGGTGGGTGTCCTGCTGCAGTAGTGGTGGCCTTGTAATAGTGAAAGACTATCATGAGCAGGAGCCAATGCCCACAGCCCAAGTGCCAGCAGCTCCAGAAGACCGGGTAGGTGCTGACAATTAAGGGTATCACAAACAGGTAGACTATGATCACCACTGAGGACGTAAGCAGGACCACCAGGCTCACAAACACCTGAGACCACAAACATGGGAGGGTTACCATGACAAAAAAAATGTTGCTCAAAGTTATTATTCCATTAAAAGAGCATCTACTGATCTACTGACTCTAAAATCTAAAACTGTATCGTTCAAGTTTTTTTTCTAAATTCAAAAGATCATATTTCTCAGAGTACCACATTGTAATGAATATTGAATGCTTCTTATTTATTATCAAAACTGGTCTTGACAACATAGGTGAAAATATTAGCAGTTCTCATCCCATCATTAATCAAGCATGACACTATAATTACAGTTATTAAAGAACTTGTTGTGGTAATCATTATGCACAATGGCAAGTCTAAAAAGGCCTTGGCTCAAAATACACAAAAATATCATCTACAGATAATCTAAATGCTAAAGTATGGTGTTGCCACTATTAGAGAGCAAAGCAAATAGCATTTTTATTTTCACTGTGCTATTGTAATCAGTATTGAGTATTGACTGAATTAGTTATCGAAATCAATTGAAATTTTAGTATCGTGACAACACCAGTTACAATACTTTAAAATATCAAACTTGATTTCATAACTAAGAAAAATACTTGATACCATTTCAAAACCACAATAATAAAAACAGTTTGACAATATAATGTCATTTTCAACACAAAATAATAGTAGTTTCTTTAAAAATATCATGTCCAGTTTATGAGATTTTTCTCAATATTGATACATGTTCAAATAAGTATCTTGTTTCGATACTAGTTTTTGTAGCAATTCTTCTGACAATTCTACTTGAAAGAATACTACTACATACCACTCCAAACCAGCGCGTCATATTGTCCACTATCCAGTAAATGGGCTCAAACACACAGTCGAACAGCGTATCTGAGTCACTCAGGCTGTTGTAGTAGAGTGACTTGAACATCACTTTGGTGTAGCTCCACAGCTGGGCCACCCTTCCTCCTCCTCGGCCCCCTCTGTGAGCTCCTCTGTGGGGTCGGCACCAGCGCAGGACGAGCCTCATGGTCCGGGATAACTGGCACCTCCAGCTGCCGCCTGACCGCATCCCACCGGCCGCTCCTCCACCACCACCACCTCCTCCTCGGAAAACCCTGCCTTCCAAACACACACACATGCACAGGCAAACGGACCAACAGTTACAAATGCAAGCAGCGAAAAACAGCAATTCCTCGTTCTTCAAACGAATCATGGACTCCATCTTAATCAGTTAACTTCCACTAAACACAACTAAGGACAACTAAACTAAACAGCACTGGTAGATACAAGCCAGTTAAGGCAAATGAGAGCACAAGCTAATCAGTTAATGCCAACAAAAATACTCCCCCCTCTTAATAATTGATGCCTAATGAATGTCCATGGGCCAAAAAAAGTACTCTGGTCAGTGTTGTAACTCTATGAGAGGAAAAAGAAGGACATAACATGAGGAGGTAACTAAGCAGTGGCTAGGTTTTCATGAAAGTGACTATTGGTTTCACAGATAAGGATCAATGACCTTCTAAGAAATGGAATAATGAGGAATGCAAATGAGGAGCTATTCGCCAATGGACAGACGACTAAAAGTGTAGGTGTGGTTTACAGTGAGAACCCTGGGGAAATCAAGAAGGAACAGACAGAGCCAAGAATCAACCAGAGATAGTTTATGGGGAACTAGTTAAGTAGAGAACAAGACACACCTTACTCAAAGTGATATGATCTTCCATACAATAGTAAATTAAAGTTGTTAGTGCAGTTGTTTTCACAGAGTGGGTGTGTACACTTACTAGAAAAATCTCAGCAGACAAAAGGTAAACGAAAATAACATCCAAGGGCAAGGGTATTCATTTGGTGTACCTTAAGGATCAATCCGTGGACCATTACTTTTCTTTGAATATTAGCAATATGTACATGGGCGATGGATAGTAATGAATTTTCGAACAGTGCATTATTTAGAAATTGATGTAGTCTATTTTAGTGTTATCACGATACTAAAACTTCAAATTCCAATTTTTTACCATGATTTTCAACATGAAATTATAGTACTTTCTCTTATATTACCACGTGGCCTCTCTGTGTAAACCCTCAGTCGTCCAGGTCCATGGACGTATACTAGATATGTTCTTATACTTGTTCTGATCCTGTGTTCTTATACTTGTTCTGATGAAGCTCAAGATCATTCAAAAGCTATTCAGAAAAGGTCCATTTCTGTCCTCTGAATTTTAGTATCGATATCTGCTCAAATTAGTATCTAGTTTCGATACTAGTTTTAGTATCAATTAGTATCTGATTTTCGATAATTCTTACAATCCTAGTCTGTTTTACTTCCCGGCAAATGTTCACTGCATGTTAAAATGTGTTATTATTATTATGTAATGTTCTCTGATGTGTGAATATGATGTGTTAATGTCATTGTGGAGGTGTAAATGAACTCATATGTCTAGTTTTGACAGATATAACTCAGTGTAGAATGCTATAATAAAGGCAAAAAAATAAAAAATAAATAAAAAAATATTTGCAGGCAGAATTTCCACTCAAATTTTTGTTTTAACATTCCGAGATGATAATCTTGGGTTTTGACTTGTTTGACAGACAAGATTACTATATTATAAACTGTAAACTGATGAAGTGGCATGAGTAGATAGTCACAATATAAAAACTCAATGTCCTATTTGAAAAACATTTTGCACTTAGCTCAGATGGACAAGAAGTAAGAGCCTGGCACCCAGCGGGACACTGTGGTCACCATGACAACCTGCTGCCAGTCTAAATCTGGTCTGACAAGTAAGTGCACTGTCACTGTCACTGTGATGATGAGCTTTCAGTGGCATACAGGTTTGACCGCCATGAACTGCTGTTTTAGTTCTCACACTTACCTGCATGCAGTGAATTTGACTACAAATTTAGGTATTCATTCCTATGTGCACTGTGCATTTCAAGTACAGAATTACACTCAAGCTTACTTACGTGAATAGGAGCTTTTGTAGTAGTAGCAGTAGTAGCAGTAGCAGTAGCAGTAGCAGTAGTAGCAGTAGTAGCAGTAGTAGCAGTAGTAGCAGTAGTAGTAGTAGTAGTAGTAGTTGTTGTTGTAGTAATAGTAGTAGTAATTAATCCATGCCCGTACAATGGTGATGTGTGCTACCATGCGATTTGTAAGAAACCCATCCAGTAACCAATAGGTCTACATAGATATTCGCCTTTACCTAAAAGAATACAACTGAATAAATGCTTGCAAAAAAAAATAAAAAATCAGGGATTCATTCATAACCTACAAGCTGCAGCTCTAATGGTGCAGTTAGCAGGGATGTTACGCTATGTTTAAACCTTGACATTTGCTTTATCCGTTTAACATACACTACAGAACAATGTCCGATTAAGATGTATTATACCTGGTGAGGTGCGAAGGGCTTATCAGCGGCACGACAGTCAGTTTAGGTCATGTTCAGGAGGATAATGTTAGCGGGGATCACGCTCTGCTGCTGCGGCGGAAACACGGAGCTCAAACATCCTCTATGGAGTAAGAGTGTAACCTTCTCTGTCAGTCGTTATCGAGAAGAAAACGTGGAAGTCGCGTCAAATTAACGTGCCAGTGTAATTTACAAATCTATAGTAAATGTTTGTGGAGTTAATTTGCATTTATCTATCTCAAATTATAGAGAAAAAAGGTAAGGCGATAAATAAAACCGAAGTGGGACCTCTTGTGTGAGTGTACTTGGCTGTGTAGTACCACGCAAGGTAATCTGGGAAGTTGAGTCCTATCTTTCTAATATGTTCTCAAATGTTTTTTATTGTGTTCACATTAAAAGGCAACACACACAAATGCAAACATAATATGTATGCATTGATGGCGAAATAGCGTTGCAATTAGAAAATAGTTCATATTTTCTGCAAAAACTGAGCTTTGCCAGAGAAACACACACCCAGGAAGTGGTGTATCATATGACTGAAGAAAAATGGCCGCGGTGCAGTGGTAGGATGCTTTTTCCCATTAAAAATAAAACATTTTCAGAAAAAGATACCTCTCTTAATCAATGTTTGCATTAAGATATCATTTGCTTTCTCTGTACTATGGCATCGTGTGTTCTTTAGGTTAACAAAAGCATTACTATCGATCAACTGTCTGTTGCCTATGTGTCTTCTCGTGTAAAAAATACAAAAGTAATACAATTAGAAATGGAAATAAATAATTTGACTGTGTAGTGAATTAAATACTATAGTATAGACTATAGTAAGAGGACCTACTATAGACCTTCTCTGATGTGTGTCACTATTAGACCTATAGTATTTGGAATATTGGGTCTATAATGTGACAGAATCATAGATCATAATTTACATCAGTGGCCTAAATGATCTCAGATGGGCCTAAAAATATACCAAATTATTACATAATGCAGTAGTAGCTGTGCATATTCCAAAACTGTATAAAGTAACATTATATGCAGGTGTACCTTGCAAACAGATTTTGATAGACTGTTTCAGAAAATGGGTGCACTATTTTCAGGCGTACCCGTTGGCGCAAGTATGAGTCTGAGCTACAGAGATGTCGTCCAGAGGCACTACCTGTAGAATTTGGGGATTACCATCCCCTAAAGCCTATATTGGTAAAAATTACATTGACACTTACATTTGTACTGAGATCATGTTCTTTATGTATGAGAAAGAATTAACAATACATTTTTCTTCTGTAGGTGACAGACACAAAGGCCCGTCGTGGAGTCCGCAAAGGCAGCACCTCTTCTTCATCCTCCTCCTCTTCCTCAGTCCCTGCTGACCCTCTCAGCTCTATGCTGGATGGGACAGACCCTCTGTCGATGTTTGCCAGTGAGACTTCAACTGTACCTCGCAGTGGCTCAACAGGGGTACAGATGACCATATAACATACACACAAATTAATATTAATCGGGTTTAACTCATACATCTGCTTTATAATGCATTTGTTGGTTTGTGTGTGCAGGACTTAGGGAAGAAGAAGAAAGATGAGGAAGCGGTAGGAGCAGACTTTGAGCCATGGTCTTCAAAGAGAGGAGAGATCTTAGCCCGGTTTACCACCACTGAAAACTGTCCATTGTAAGTCACCTGTTTTTACTAGTAGGCGACACTAACCAGTACCCAGCCTTATGAGACATTTCACAATCATAACTTGTGTGTTATTTGTTCTTTTCTTTGTAGAATCTTTGCATGGGCTCTGACAAAGGTGAGACATATGTTTATGGCAGCATAATACACACAGAAGCGAACATATAATTAACTTACTTTTTGAAATGGCGATAGCACTGACATATACAAGTGTATGTTCGTTTCCACTGAAAAATCTAATCTGCCACAAACAAACAATGGTATTTTAAATGTTTTATTTATAATTTTATACATTGATTTTTAATTTGTTATCTAATTATCGCATGATATTACTCAGTATGAAAGTTTAATCTGCAGTACCTGATTTTCAAAAAGGAAGGAGGTAATAGGTATTTAAATCTATCAAACTCAATTGTTGTTCCAAGCTACAACAAACACTTCTTCACATTGCAAATATTAACAGATGGGTGTTGGATAATTTGAATGAGTATATATTTTTTCATTTTATAATTTCTTTAAGGAAAAGCTACCAGTCCAGCATCTTCAGCTGTTTCAGAAAAGGTTCGCACACGCCTTGAGGAGCTGGATGATCTTGAAGAGGTATTCCCTTATAATCTCTGGATTAACCAAACTGCAACATGATTAGATGCATTCATATGAAAACATTATCTGTCTCTATCTGTTTGTGCAGGGTTCCCAGAGAGAGCTGCTCAACCTCTCTCAGCAGGACTATGCTAACCGTATCGAGGAGTTAAACCAGTCCCTGAAGGAAGCTTGGGCCTCGGACCAGAAAGTCAAAGCTCTCAAAATAGTCATCCAGGTAGATGTAAATCTGCAATATTCAACACCATGGTGGTCCAATATTTTGTTTCAGTATTTTGTTTAGCTGGTACTGATATCTGATGTTTCTCTTGCTGCTGGGGCTGATAACCGATATTTGCCGATATTGATATTAAAGCTGCAAGGCTCACGCGTATATGTTAAAGTACCACTGTACCTAATTTTTACTCTCTTAAAAGATGTGAAAAGCATTTTTCAATGGTCCATAGTTATTCTAGTTATACACGTATCTTATGCATTCAGAGCATCCTAATTATTTTAGGTGCACCTTTCACAACTTTTAGAGCAGAATTTTTGCCATCACGGTAAAGGTAACAACTGGCATGCTAATATGCACTCCCTGATTATGGGAAAATAAAACGGTTTATAATTAGATGCAGACTGGCGGCAGTAGCTCAGTTGGTAGAGCATTCGCCCACTGATCTAAAGGATGGCGGTTCGAATCCAGCTCTTGACATAAAAAACATCACAGGTTGAGCGGTCAGATCCACTGACCCACAGGTTGGCTGGTGTGATTCCAGCTCCCACAGATGAATGCTGCTGTTGTGTCCTTGGGCAAGACACTTAACCCACCTTGCCCACAGTGTCTGCATACACTGGTGTGTGAATGTGTGTGTGAATGGGTGAGTGGTTCCTTGTTGTAAAGCGCTTTGAGTGCCTTGAAGGTGGAAAAGTGCTATAGAAAAATATGACCATTTACCATTTACTGTACACAGACATCAAGAACTGCTTATACAAGCTATCTGTTTTGGGGCGAGACAAATTTCCCTCAAATACATGGGAAAAATCCAGTACAAGGCCTTTAAAGGCACCAAAATGTATTTATCTGGGATATAAAATGATTTGTTATGACTACAGCCATATATATATTTTTTTGCCTTATTGTTCCATTTTTATTCATTAGTCTGCTGAAAAGGACAAATCTGATGTGTTGTGGACAATACAGAGACTGGGGCATCTTAAATAAATCTTCAATATGTGACTGATACCAATATCCATGAAAACACTTATTACGATCACCGATAATGGAACTGATATATCACTTATCCCTAATAATTTTTGCTCCATTCAGTGTGCCAAGCTTCTCTCAGACACATCGGTGATCCAGTTCTACCCAAGCAAGTTTGTCCTCATCACCGACATCATGGACACGTTTGGTGAGTCAACATGTTTCACATTCTCATATAGTTTTCACATATATTTTGTAATTGCATATTTGGAATTTTTTAGGTCGACTGGTGTATGACAGAATCTGGAGCATGTGTTCAGAGCCACAGTCCTTATCAGGTCTGTATGCTGCAGTGTGTGTGGTTGTTTTTGTTGTTTTTTTTGTATACTAATGATTGCATTGCCGCTCTCCTTAGATACCTTTACGTGTGATGATGTTAATGACACTGCTAAAGAAACGTGCCTAAACTGGTTTTTCAAAATCGCCTCCATCAGAGAACTGCTGCCCAGACTGTATCCTTCACCACAAGTTTGCCTTTGAATTTATATGCATTTTTAGAAATTACTTTTTTGTGTGTGTGTGTGTGTATATATATACACACACATATATATGTGTGTGTGTGGATATATTATTATATATATATATATATATATATATATATATATATATATATATATATATATATATATATATATGATGACAGTGGTAGAGGTATTTCGATATAGAACTGTGCTGCTTCTTGTATTTGTACTGAGTCCTTAACCTTTATGCACAGATATGTGGAGGCTTCTATCCTAAAGTGCAATCGCTTTTTGAACAAAACGTATGTTGTTATTGCATAGCACTGTGGGAGTAGAGTCAAGGCAACATATAAAATTAGCCTAGCGTGATATTTTTTAATCAAATATTCTTATTATATTTTTCAGAGGTATCTCTACAACTCTGCCAAGACTGACAGCTATGGTCAGAGGCATTGGAGATCCTTTAGTCGCTGCATATGCAAGAGCCTATCTCTGTCGGGTAATGTACACAAACCAAATATGTACAAATTGGTGAATTACGTTATTCCCCTTCAAAGTTTGTTGTTATTTTAGTCCCTTCATGAATGGTCTTTGTGAATTTTGTATTTTTGATTTCTCTTTATGTATTTCAAGAAAATGTACAAAATATTCCTCTTATAATTTGGTATAAAATACATAAATATCTTTGGACTAGTATTCATATAATAGGCTGTTAGTAAATGTAAAATTATTACTTTTGAATCTAAATTATGTCTTTCTAACTCATGTAAGTGTCCCAAAGTATGAGCTTTCTATTGACTTCCTCCTGTACCTGTTGTATTATGTTCCCAGGTGGGCATGGAGGTGGCCCCTCAGCTCAAGGACACTCTGAACACAAACTTCTTTGACCTGCTGAGGACTTTCCGTCAGCTCAGTGGAGAGAGTGTGCAGAACCAGCTGGTGGTCCAGAGGGTGGAGATGCCCGAATACCTCACCCTGTACTCACCGGCTATCAACTGGATCCTCCAGTGCATCGCATACAGGGCTCCAGAGGCACGTACCTTATATCATTGGTTCATTTTGTTAAAAAATGGGAAAATACCATATTCATTTTACAAAGACTATATTATAATAACTTAAAAATCTGCCATCTTGGAATGTATAGTCTGAGTTGTGATTGAGTTTAGATTGACTTACTGCAACTTAAATTTTTATATAACATGTTCTAGTTTACTGCACCACATTATATGGGAATACTTTAAAATTAGTACATTTTTAATAGCCCTAATAAAGCATGAGCAATTATTTATAATAAACAAATTCTTTATTATGAATGATTCAGGCTTAGTAACCACAAAGCCACAGTATGCAACTTTTTGGTGTGACGTGTCACCTCTATAAAGTTACATACCTTAATATCTTTACTCCTAATCCCTAATTAAGTAGTTAGTTCCTAATTAAATAACTCATGAAGGTGTAGTTATTATAAAGTGGTTTCCATGATACAGTTATTGGTAGTTACAAAACATTATTTGGATGTTTCTTCATTGTTCTTTTTTTTTAGCCACTACTGACAGAGATGATGGAGAGGTGCAAGACTATGGGGAATAAGTAAGTGCTAAAAAAGTTCTCTTCTTGCCTTCATGATCCACTTGGCACATAATTTATCTGTAATTTCCTCAGATAATCTCGCTTTATATATTTTGTGTCTCATTCTCATAGCGCCCTCTTGCTAAATTCCGTCATGAGAGCCTTCAGACCTGAATTTGTCGCTGCCCGAGCCACTGACTTCATCGGAATGATCAAAGAATGTGACGAGGCTGGCTTCCCCAAGGTCTGAGAAAGTCAACAGTACATTTCAGCTCAAACAGAAATCAATTCGTATCTGTATTACTCATTGTATGTTTTTTTTTTTTTTTTTGTAGCATCTTTTATTTGGTTCACTCGGGCGCAGTTTGGCAAGTGCTGACCCTCCTGAACAGGAAAGACTGACCATTCTCAACGAGGCCTGGAAAGTCATCACGAAAGTCCGCAGCCCGAGGGTAATGCATAACTTATATCTGACTTATATGTAACTAATATCAACGCAATAATACTCCTTGCATACTACATGTGTGTTTTATTTAACTACAGGACTACATCAACTGTGCAGAGATCTGGGTGGAGTTTACATGTCGACATTTCACAGTGAGTACAAGAAATCTCCATCAGCTAATAATACTGAGGGTTAGGAAAACAATGATATGATGGGTCTGACTGCACAATTTGGGGGAAAAAATGTATTGCAATTTTTAAGGAAATACAGAAATATGAACTGAACCACATGTTTATCTTGTTTTCATTAAAAATATATATTTAATTTACAAAAGGACATACAATACATAAATGGATAGATAGAAATAAATAAATAGATTAATGCAAAATTCAAATTGGTCGACTCATTATTTTATTTATATTAGAAATAATTACATGTCTGACAGATGAAAGGAGAAGGTGGAGTGAATTATTAAGATTTGGGAGTGAATCCATATAAATACACTTTTTCCTAGTACTTTTCTGTATAAGTCTTAGACTTAGACCAACTTTACTGATCCACAAGGGAAATTACTTGCATACAGTAGCTCAAACATCACAATATATTACAATAACAAAGAGTAAAAAATATAAAAATGGTAATAAAACTTCTAAATAAGTAGCAATATATATAATATAATAAATACAATATATAACAGTTAGTATATGCAAGAGGTCATAAGGAAAACAGTGCAGGGATGATATGATGATTGACAGAAACATGGGCTTATCTGTTACATAATGGTGAGTTGTACAGCTGTATAGAGTATGGTATGAATGTAGTCCTGTATCTCTCACTGTTTGTTCATTATAAATCGTTGTTTTTGCATGAACTCATATTCTGTAGTATTTTGCCATGCCCAACTTTATATCTATCCATCTTTAGTCGATGACAGCCCTATTGCATGAGTACCATTTACTGAAAAAAAGATTCAAACCTCAAGTTAAATTTTTTAGTGCCAAGGTCAAAAGTGTAAATTTATTGTAGAAATTTATGAAGAGCTGGTTTTGAAATTTAAAGCTATATCCATTTCAATATCATAATCTATTTCTTCCCTTTTTTGTATACTTGCCAGAATGTCAGTTTCACTTTACATTCACCCACTGAAATCTAATAAAATTTTGTTATGCTCTTTTGTGTCTTTTAGAAACGGGAGGTGAACACAGTTTTAGCAGATATGATCAAACACATGACTCCTGATCGAGCATTTGAAGACGCCTACCCCCAACTGCAGTCTGTCATCGGGAAGATCCTCACCTACTTCCATGACTTCTCCATTCTCTTCTCCATGGTAAGTTAAATCAGATGTAAATAAAAAAATAAAAAAAACATGGATAAGAAACATCTGATTTCATATGTGTTGCAGGAGCGCTTTCTACCATTTCTAGACATGTTCCAGAAGGACAGTGTAAGGGTGGAGGTTTGCAGGTCCATCATGGAGGTTTTCATTAGGTATGTTCTTAATAAATATACACAAAATATAAATCACAAATATATCATCTCATGCATTGTCACTTATTCCTCAGACACCAGGTGGAGCCCACGAGAGACCCAGTGATTCTCAATGCCATGCTGCACATCTGCAAGACCATGCACGACTCTGTGAAGTAAGCTGACATCTTCAATAATAATACCCAAAATTACATTAGCATCACCATGTTATTGCTTGTTCTGTTTTCACAATTATCACTAAAACTTTCCCCATAGACTATTAAAGGTCCTATATTACGCAACATTGACTCTGACTTTGAGCCCTGTTAGAATGTTGTTATCATCTCAAAAACATAACTGGAGTTTTTTTTTCATTCATACAGGTTTGATTATGAGTCTGTCTACATCTTCAGATTTCAAACTGCTCTGTTCCATCTTGGAATGTCATGAAGTAGTAACTAATATCCATGACACTATTCTTTTCAGTTCAAAAAACACTGATAACATTTTTAAGGTTTAAGCAATGCATAAATGAATTAACGAATTAGTTAGCATATAGCACCTTAGCCCAGAGCAAGTATTCAAAATGTGTAATATACTAGTACTTTTTTTTTTTTTTCAGAAGGTCTGGGGCCAAAAATAAATGGGAATTTTACTTACTTACTTAACTTTGTGATGTGTAGTCACTCCGTGAGCTCCGTTATAGACAGTCTACTACTCATAACATTTCAGTGACATTTATGTATTTTTAAGGGCCTATAGTATGCTAATTTCTGATCTATATTTAATGCTGTTTCCTTATCAAAAACATACCTGGAGTTGTGTTTTGTTTCATTCACTCATGTTTAACAAACATGTCACAATCCCCTGCATATTTAGGCTTCTCTAAGACAAAAAAACGCTCTGTTCCACCTTATCATTTCATGTGGCAATACAGGAAGTGCTCCACTGTGTTTTAAATTCCATGCACCTTCTCTAGAATTATTTTGACACTTTCAGCCCTGAAATTTCCTATCTTAACAAGGCAACTTTGCATAATATTTTTGTCTAAATCACTTTATTTCTCTTTTCCACAGTGCGCTGACTCTTGAGGATGAAAAACGATCTCTATCTCTTTTAATCATTGGCTTCATTCGTATGGTAAACCTCTCTAATGTCTCCACACTGTAACTTTTATCAGAACTATTGAAGTTAATTATTTTATTTATTTATTTATCTTGGTTCACAGGTGTCATTTGGACGTGATTTTGAGCAACAGCTGAACTTCTGCGTCGAATCCAGATCTACATTTTGTAACCTGGAGCCCGTTCTGGTGCAACTCATTCACGTCAGTACCATTGATTTTATAAGAACCCATACTGCTTTACGTTTACAGCTGAAATACCCAACTTTCTTGCTAATAGGCCCCAGTCACAAATGGTTCCCTGAAAATTGCTGAGCACAAAGTACAAATTGCCACAACACTCAGCCATGACTCCCATTCACATATGCAACAGTCCCTGAACATAACTAAGGAAATCAAGTGGTGATAACTGGCAATTTTCTGGATGATTCACACTTAAGCTTTCCATGCGTTTTCTCTGTAATTTACCTTTGAAATTGCCAGATCAAAAATGCAGGGAAATTTAGTTCAGGTTTTTTTCACAGTAAGAAAAGTAAATTCCCCAGTCAGGCGAAATGTGTGAATGGGGCTATAAATTAGGAAATTGAGGTACAAAATGAACAAAAGGTGAAAAGGTGGCTGTTAACTTGAAAACTACCACTACATGGCATCACAAGGTGGAACAGAGCATTTTGAGCTTTAGAGATGTAGACAGATTAATAAATGGTTACTCAACATGTGTGAATGAAACAAAACACAACTCCAGGTATGTTTCTGTGGAGGTAACAACATTATAACATGCCTTAAAGCTCAGAAGAGTAAATTTTGTGTAATAGAGGACCTTTAAATATCTACTCCCTGCTTTTACAGTTTGGAAATTAGATTGCAACTGAAATGCTCCATAATTTGTTCATGCAACGATTACTATCTGTTTTAGACGGTGAACCAGCTGGCCATGGAGACTAGGAGAGTGATGAGGGGAAATCATTCCAGAAAAACAGCATCTTTTGTCCGGGTGAGCACAAAGATTCTATTTTGGTGAAAGACATTTTAGTTTGACTGTGACTCATTCAGAGCTCGTGACTCTTGCCTCTGCTCTTCATTTAGGCGTGTGCTGCGTACAGTTTCATCACCATCCCGTCTCTGAGTAGCATTTTCAGCCGTCTCAGCCTCTACCTGCTGTCCGGGCAAGTCGCTTTGGCCAACCAATGTCTGTCTCAAGGTACATACAAGGACAATATATAGTTAATTTGGTAGCTTTATATAATGATTATTGCACTACTGTGGGTGGTTAAGAAGGCAACGTTAAAGCTGCACTATGTAACTTTTCTGGTAGAGGCTCCACCAGCTGTTGCTCTCCATGTAGTTGCTATTGCGCATGCCTGGAATGTACCACAGTATGGTAAGCTGATCAATATTGTGGTTATATGATTGCATGTGGTCTTATTGCTAAAAAAATTTATTCTACAGTATATTGGCTCATTGCCTTTCAACAGATTGACTGATTGTAATAACTTAAATTATGGATCCATAGAGAAATACAGGTTTGATACCATACTGTGGAACATGAGGTAAAATAAATAACATCTCTCCATGAAGATAAGTTCACAGGGCACCTTTAAGTTAGGCAACAAAATTATAGTTCTGCCACAAATTAAAATTAGTATTCTTTTCAGACAAACTTTTTAGACAGTGTTTGCTCATGTGTGTTTTGTGTCACTGTGGTGTGTGTCACTATGTGTCACTGGAAAGCGTCAATACTCTATTTCTTACCACTCAACATAATTTACTTATTTTTCCTGTTTATGTTTTAAGCTGATGCGTTCCTCAAGGCAGCAGTGAGTGTACTCCCGGAGGTCCCTCGCTCCATAAGCGTCGAGGGCAAGCTCCGCTCTTCTGAAAGCTTCCTGTTGGATTTCATCAACAACTTCCTGTCCACTCTGCTGGTTGTCCCGGTAACACAGACCTTTCCTCAATGTTATTTCAAGATAAAGCACAATATACCAGAATGTATTATAAAATGTGTAATTCTCAGGACCACCCGGAGCATGGGGTTCTGTATTTGGTGCGTGGCCTCCTCAACATGGTCCAGGATTACACGTGGGAGGACAACAGCGATGCTAAAGTGCGAGTCTACATCAGCGCTCTGCCCCTATTGGCCGCTATGAGCCAGGAAACCTATCTGTACTCTATTCCAAAAAGTAAGCACTTATTTCAGCCAGTATGTTCTCCAAATAGGTTGCATTCATGTGAAAAACAATCTAGAATTGTTTAAAACTGAGCTGGAGGACAGGTCAGGTAGGACATGTTACATAGGTATAGATTTGTTGATTTCGTTTATAATTCATATCTTTTTGTCTATCCACATGAAACTATTATAAAGTTCAATGTCTTCTCTGTCAGCACAAATAAACAAAAGTGAAATTATTTTTTCACATTAGCTTCAGAAAGTGGAGCCATTATTCAACCACAAACATGTGACTGTTGTCAGTTGAAAGAACTTAAAGCCATGAGACGAAAATGGCAAGTTGTGGAGCTTCTCTCTTAAAAAAATAGTGAGTTATATAGACCCATGCACAGCATTCTGACAGATTCACATTCCACTAAGAGTATAAAATGTATTTATGATGTAACATATTTGATATTAAGAGAAAAATGCCCTAAACCTCTTCTTTTATGTTACTGTTGCAGTGGACTCTAATGAAACACTATACGGTGGGGACCCCAAGTTCCTCTCAGAGATCAACAAACTGTGTGAGACTCTGATTGGGCAAGTCCTAGACCATTTAAAGGCACTTGGTCGAGAAGAGGTACATGAAAAAATTCAACTATTATACAGTGAATTTAAAACACAAAATATGGAGTAGACTCTTCTTTCTTTCAGCAGACCGCCCGACGTCAGGGAGCTCTGGCTTTCTCCCTGTTTGGAGTCCTGGTTTCCCACGGCGACGTCCGAAATAACAAGCTCAGTCAGCTGGCCGTAAACCTGTGGAACCTTAGCCACAAACATGGATACTGTGACACCCGCTTCTCTGTAAGCTCACACAGACTATCCATTTTGTTTTGTTTTAGTAAGTGTTATTATCTAAATTTCATTTAGGAAACAGCATTATAAAAGTAATATGGGCCCTTTAAAGTTCCTATATGATATTTCTTTGTCTGAAATGTTCCACAGTATGGCATTAAACTAATCCATCTTGCATTTATTACAATATTATAGGTGCTTTTATTGCTCAAAAATACATAGAAAAAGATGCACTCTTACTGTGAGTGGGCTCGCCTCTCCACAGATGTGTTATGTAGCCCCACCAGATAAATTAATTATCATACTGTGAAACATTCCAGGAAAAGCATGTGCTTATATCTCCGTGGAGACAAGCAGGGGTAGACCTCCCACCAGAAAAGTTACAAAAAGCACCTTTAATCTGCAATATTAAGAGGACTGTCTGTATTACCTAATTTGTAATACATAAGATTTATTTTTGTCCTATTACTTACACAGATTTTTCCCTTCAGGTTCGGACTTTGGAGCACTTGAAGCATCAGGCACAGCAGCCGGACATGTCCCACCTGTCTGACACAGTCCAGAGGCTAGCACTGCAGTCACGCACTTAAGACACTAATGTACTCAATGTAAATACAAGTTTAAATGCCTTAATGTTGTATTCAACTTTCTATATTTTAATGGGAAGTTTTTATCAGCTGGTCATTTGATTTCTTGAATAGCAAATTGAGGAATGTTGGCTGACACATGTCCAAGTGTACTGAGATTGTCTACAATCTGATAATGGAATGAAATAATGAACAAATTAATTACAAACTGGGTAATTAAAAGTGCTGCCTTGCATGCTCCAATAATCTTAAATATTTTGTAATTTCATTTTCAACTCTGATGGAAAATATAACAATGTTTTCAGTGGGCTGCTTGTATTCTGTGTCACTGTTAAAATAATTGGTCAGTTAGATCAGTCCCTGTGCTCTTACTGTTTAAAAAAATGAACTCCAATCACAACTGAACCTAGGTCGCCAGTGCCTTAATATGCATATAAAGGACAAAAAATGATCAGTATATGGATAGGCTATGTCTCATGTGAGAGCTCAGAACCTCCAGAATTCACAGGCTGCACTAGCACTGATTCATGGTTGCCTGCAGGTGCTGGTGTTTAGGTAGTGACCATTCAGATTAGAGAGGTTTAAACCAACTAAATTCCAGCACTGAAACTGGCAACCCAAAAGAGACTTGTGCGAGGCCCATTCTGCTTTCTTGGATTGGATCATTGTCTTGAGAACCAAAATGCAAGAATAAACCTGCATTAAAAATGTTATCAGTGAAAGCTATGTTTGATTTGGACATGTTTACCTCATATCTAGGGTCACAGTTAAGTCAAGTTTATGAAATGTATGTATGATACTCTTTCATCTCACAACAAATTAAATCTCTGGCAAACTAATTTTCTCAATTTGAATAACACAACTGCTGTCACCAGTTCCTTTGAAATTTGTCAGTAGTTCAAAAAATGTACATCTGACACATCGAAATAAACAAACATGATTTTAAGACATTCTCAAACTCTTCTCATTTATTTACTGAATTAGTGAATCATTGCAAAGGCAAACAGTCCCCTTAACCTCAAAAGAAAAACATTTCAATAACGAGGGCTGCGATGCTTGGTCACACACCTACTTCACACATCCAAGGTGATGAACACAACTTTATGCCTTTTCGGTCACATTTTATGCATTCAAGAATTAAAGAAATGAAGAAATGTGAAATCTTTGGAGAACGTTTCCCTTTAAATTGAGGATCATATTGTAAAAGTACTGTGGGTAGGTATATTTCAACACTGATAGTTAAAATGACAGTATTAATTTAGAACAGAAATTTTATAGATAAGATACGGCAAGATTTCAAAGGTCAGATTAAATTTTAAAATTTACCAAATTTGTCCAACCGCCTGTATTAGTAATTATTTCTTATTCAATTACCGCTATGTTCAATATTATATTTTGCACACTTGTGAGCTATAGTAGTCACAAAGCCAGCAGTTGAAAATTAAAAGGCCTATGCTATAATGTTTTTTCCCTTATAAACATACATGAGAGTTGTTTAAATCACACATATTTAGCACACAAATCTCAAATTGAAAACACTCTGTTCCACCTTGTGGTGTCATTATGCGGTAATACAGAAATGTGCCATACACTTGTTTTCCATACACTTCACTAGAATAATTTTGGTCATTTCAGCCCTGAATTTTCCCAAATTTGATAATACAGCTATTGTTTTAGCTTCTTTCAAACTGCTTCACTTCTGCCCACAGTGGTGAATTTCTAGCTTTTCTAGAATATTGAAGAGTAAAGCAGCCCAACTGATGTTAAAAATAGCTGGTAACATTAAAACTACCAATGGCATCACAAGATGGAATAGATCATTTAGAGCTTTGAAGCGGCAGACACCCTAATAATTTAGGATTACCAAATGTGGAATTCACACATGAATTCAATGAAACAACTTGTATGTTTTTGAGGAGGCAAAATCATTATAACACACCTAAAGTTTTGTGTAATATAGAACCTTTAAAAGAAAAGTCTAGAAAAGAATACAAAGCAATAAATCCTTTTATAACATGCAGAAGTCCAATTCACTCCAACAACAACAGCGCTTCACAGTGCCCACATCAGCCCTGACTTGTTTAAATAGACTGGACATTGACAGGCATCTACAGGCAACAATCAGCAACTTAAAACTAAGTGCTACATTTAGTCACTTCTCAGCTGTAAAAAAAAAAACAAAAAAAACAAAACTAGACCCAATCTTTGAATTAAACTGCAGAGACATTTACAGACAGATGGTTACGAGGCTGACATTACTACTTGCTATCATGGTAGGTAGAAAAGTGGATGAAAAGAAATGCAAAAGTTTGGTTATAACTTATGCTATATCAAAGAAGTGCTTCCTAGTTTAAGTACTACTGAAATTAAACAAAGAGTGTCCAACAGCACCTTCAGCACACGGTGGAATGATGTTGCTCACGTGGCTGTGGGTTAAACCATATACAAGTATCGCCATAGTAACGCTGTCATCACGCTAAGCTCTTCCACTCCTCTGGTGGGTGCGGCCTCAGGTCAGCAAAACTCCTGGTATAAATCCAAAAGTGGAGCCGCTAGAGCAGAAAGCAGGCTCACTGAACACAACAGAAGAATGGCCGTGTAGCTTAGCGAAGTCCAGGCAGTGCTCTGATGGATATTGGACCAGATTGTAGTTGGGATTGGGGAGCAGATGGTGGAGACATTGAGAAGTGGAGTAGCCTGTCTGTATATGCGAGCCTCAGCCTGTGCCCACATGTTCTAGAGGTAAAACAGAGGCACAAGTCCCCGACTCATTTATGTCTATTTGTTCTTGTGGTTCTGGGCTGTGGTCTCAGTCCAACTCTATGGGGCTACTGTCTTCCTGTGCTTCTTCACCCACATCATCTTCCTCTCCAGAACCCATCAGGCTGTTCAGCAGGTTCCCTGGAAAATAACAACTCACATTAGTATCTTTTCATAGTGGACCAGCATATTTAGTATCGAGTAAAATGTGACATTTCAAATTCTTTATTAATTATTATGTTATAAGTGTCTATGAAGTTTCAATTTTGACATAAAGAGAACCCTTCCTTACCTAGCAAACCACCATATGACGGGGACTGTTTTGGTGGAACTCCAAAAAAAAGCTGTCCTATTCTGTCAAGATACTGAGGGCAGAAGAAGGATTTATACGTGAATGAATGAGTGTAGGCCACAGGGATGCAAGTTTGTCAGTCAAAGCACATCGTAATACTCACTTCATTATACATGGGGTCCCTCTTCAGGGAAGGCTGATATTGCTCACATAACACTGTGAAAACTGTTAATTTACCCCTGCAACAAAGAACACATCAATAATAACCATATGACACTCATAATCCATGTAAGGCCTAGGTCAATATTCCACTCCTTTTATTTGACATTCAAACAAGCAATTCTACAACACGAAAAGGGAATTTCTACTAGTGTAATTATCTTAAGAGCTGCTGAAAAGTTTAAAGATGAATATACTGCAGTAAGAGAATAAATTAGAACAATACAATATTTGCTGTCTCCAAAAACATGTAGATTAGCTCACCCTTCCACTGCCAGCAGCAGAAACCAGATAAAGTTTAGTAGAGGCTGGACAAAGGGGGGCCCTTTCTCTATGGACGGGTGTTTCTCTGTGTACGTGCTGAACACCACTGAAGCACTGCTTTTATTCTTCAAGCAGAGGAACCTGCCGGCACACACATGCATCAGACAAATAAGCATGGTCACAACATGAGGATATGAAGAACAGAGCAAAAAAAAAATTCTAGACAAAATAAGATTTAAAAAATTATCAGATCAATAGTTCTTATTACATATAAGTGTGATTAATTCACACTTACAGAGTACAACAGTTTTGGTGTTAACAAGTCCCTCTTTAGTAACAATGTAGACTCACTGTAGGACGGCCTGCGCCACAAACATGTCCACCTCACTGCGAAAGCCTCTTGAAGCGGAGTACTCCACCAGCATCAGGGCGCACCCCTCCCCGTCAGACGAATGCAAGAAGTGATAACGAGACTCACTGTAGTTTTGCTCTAAAAATACACAAGTGATTCATATCAAATACACCCTTTATTACACATTTGTAACACCGTAACACAGACAGGCTTTTGTTACCTTTCCATAAAGTGACAGCCAGGAGCTGGTGGAGTTTGGGGTGACCCAACTTGCCTGAGCCTCCTGTGGACCATTTGAGTGCTCTGGACACAAAGGCTACCCTCTCTGGGGAGTTCTGATCCATCAGACTGAACAGCTTAGCCAGTTGTTCTGCGCAACAGACACGTACAACCTTAGAGGGTCCATACAGTGATTTACCAGTAACATCTAGAGAGGCGGTTACTTACCCAAAATGTCTTCTTCCACTTTTGACTCTGATTTCTCCAACACTTCCAAAACAAGCATAGACAGATCTGCCGCACTGTTTTGCTGCACATACAGATAATAGGAAAGGATTCTATAGTCTATAGTCATTTGTCAAACTGTGTGGTTATGAGACTTGATTGATGTACCTGATTATAGCTGAAGAAGAGCAGAGCCCCGTTGTACATGAGCTCCTTGGCCTCTGCGTGTTTCGCCTGTGACATGTACCTGGAACACGACAGGGAGGTTACTGTACACGGTACACTCTACACGGTATACATGCAAAGCGTACGCATTTGTACATTAGGACAACTGCTACAGGATAGGTTCGTGTGACTACCGCAAATGGACAAATGGAAGTATAATACTCTTAATAATACAACCACAAAATGTACGTAATTCAAATGCTTTTATCAAACACACGTGTTAAATATACAAAAGGAGTTGCTTACGCTAAATAATGGCATCTCTAATCAGCATTATGCGGCGGTGCACACAGAAGTGGCTAACTTGCTAAACGCTAACACAGCTGGACAGCAGCAAAAAGCACAATGTGAACACGACAGGGGCAGAGCAAATGCATAATCCAAAGAACACATGATTCTGTTGTCAACACTGACACCGATACATTAAACTTAATCAATGTACAACATAATAACACCAGCCGTAGTTAGCTTGTATGTAGCAGCGCTAGCTAGTCGTTATTAGTTATCGTTCTGGGCTGTGATTGACACCTCCTATGACTAATAAACAGGTCGCTCTGAGCTGGTGGGCGGGTCTATATCACACTTGAACCAATCATGAACACGAAACTCTAGAGGCGAGGTTGACAGCAGAATGATCTGGAACAGGTAGGCCTCATAGTCCCACTAAATCCTTCAATATGAAGGGGAAGCTTACCTAAAGAATAACGTCCTGTACATCTGATGTGCTTCATAATAATCCCCCTTTTCTACGCTCGCTCGGAGCTTCCCCTCGACACGCTGGACGCCTCCTCGGTTCCTAGCGCTGGAGCACCGCAGGGACTCCTGCTCGGACATGGTCGTTGCTCCGCAGCAGCAGCGCAGCCGCCCGACTCAGCTGCTACTTCTAATGGGCACTTCCACCTGACCAGGGGCCTCTCGGCACTTTGCTGCCTCTCTGGGTGTGGCGAGAATTACTTTGTATTAGGCACCGCACGGTACTGTGAAGGAAGAATACTTAAATTAAATAGTTGACTTGTATGTGACGCACTTTGGTCAGCTGAAGTTGTTTTACATGTGCTATGTACATAAACTTGAATATTTTTTTTTGTAAAGTACTGCTTCTAATCGCTTTCAGACCAACAAAAATTGTCTAATTTGAACTCAGTTACTGGAACTTTGGAAAACAAGTTAATTTTTTAAATGAAGTAAACATATGTTTACAGGCAGGTATAAAATCGCATGCAGTATTGCCAAAAATAACATTACTCTGCAGAGAACTTCAATGAACCATGGCTGGATGGATTCTTATGATGAATGCTGTAAAATGCAATGTTGTCTATTGTGATGGGGGGGGGTTCACTTACTCCCTATCTTCATCCACTGTTCTTACTTAATTTAAATTAATTTAAAATTTCCAGGTGCATAAGGTTAAAAATGTCTTTATCCCATTTTCCAGCAGTATAAACAATAAAAATCTGCTGCTTTCTTCATAGAAATGCCACTATGAAGTGGGGGTTTAGATCAGTATTGCCATTTACAATACAACATAATGATCTACAGACATGTAATACTAAATACTCTGATACTAATATTGCATAATATAGATTAACAAATGAATGATTTAATTATGTGTTTGTTTTTGCCTGAATTCCTCATACATGCACTCAAAAACAATGCATGAAACTAAAAAAAAAATTTTAAATACAAAGAAACCACTTAATGACAAGTTAGCAAACAGTTATATACTGTATGCATAGTCGCTTACACAAATAACAATGCTCGTTAACAAATCATGCTTGTCTAAAAGTGGACCACAACTTTGATTCTGTAGTCTGATTGGTTGGACTGTCTTAATTTTAATCCTATAACCCACAAAAGAGACTTTAATAGCAAAATCTCAACATATAACAATACTTAACAAAACATTACATGGACATTCTATCACACAGGAATGTATATACAACTTATCTCTTACACATTTAAATACATCTTATCTGATATATTCAAAGTGCAAGTGTAGCTTTTTGTGCATATTCAACATGGATTGAGATTTTTGGCTCTTTTATGGTGTCAGTATAGCAATAATATTCAACAATAAAACAAGATTGAAATTTTTGATATTTGAATTTGTAAATATGGAATTTTCCCAGTAAAGTTATAATTTTTTGTTTTGTTTTATTTAAATAATCTTCTTCTGCTCCAGTTATCGCAGCTTTACATAAAATTGTTATGTTTTTTAACTTTCATGCAACTGTTCAAGATCCATCCATTTGTTTTAGTACACACTGATGAAGAGTTCAGTATAGTGTCAGTGTTTTGTAGAATATTAAATCTCATGCAATCTTGCATTATCTTACTAACTGAATAGATCCATTTTTTCAAAGAACCCAGTTATTCTAATGACATTATCATTCTATCACTAAATCTTCTGAATTAATTAGAGACATGATTACCTTTAAGTGAAGTCCAGTGTGCAGTGAACAACAACAACAACAAAAATAATAATAATAATTTGAAAATTATTAATGATGAAAAAAAAAAATTAATAAATCAATAAACATATTCTGGGAAGAATTTGGGGACTGGCTTTTGTCTCAAAATGACAGGACACTTTAACTTTAGGCATTGGCAATAATTAACAATTTGTTATTGTTGCTATCAAAATATTGTATTCATTCATGAAAATGGAAATTGTCAACATTTTCTACTGATTAATCTACTTGCACAGATATGCACTGAGCTTTGCATGTTTTACCCATAGGCCTATTGTAGCGTGTATTTTCTGTTCTGTTCTGTATATCTTAAAAGTATATCTTAAATATACTTTTATTCACTTAATGCCTGCCCTTTTATTGTATCATAGTTTTGCATTTGCGTGTGTGTGATATTTATCACATTATCGCTGATGAAGACTAATTAGATATTGTAGTGTACTAGTGTCCCCACTAGATGGAGGCAAAGTCTACCCGGAGGCGTGTCCGTCTGGAGTGGACCATGACGGTCGGTACATGGTACATGCTTGCATGCTGTGCTGCTGTATGTCAACATAATATTCAGATAGAAACTAGACAAAACCTCCACGTATTTGAGTTAATTCCTTCTATTTCTGAATACATTAGGCTTCTTGTTTAGACCAGAGTAACAACTTGAGTAAACGTGTGTGAGATTGGACTGTAGAGGATCTGTTGGTGCTTCCCACGCAGAGGAGGGTTTTCCGGCTAAAGTTTCCTTTGTGATTCGGATGTAACAGCATGATATCTGCATACGCAAGGCTGGAGAAGGCAACATGAATAGTAAGCCTCTTTACACACATTTATGTACCATTCGTTTTAGCGTTAGAGAGCACAGTAGTTGTATAACATAACATTAGGAAGTCAACAGTTCGGCTTCATGTTAGCGGCGGCATAGCTAGCGACGATGCTAATAGATCCTGGCTAGCCAGCCTACTTGTGCAGTGTTAAGTGTCAGAAAAACAAGAGATGGTAAACATATTAAGGTCCGAGGCAGAAGTATGAGGTAGCTCTAATATGACTATGGACACTTACGTTGCTTTGTGTCTGTAACTGAAAAATCTAGTCTCATTCTGAGTTGTGTTTAGTATTTGGGTTCGGTCCCCTTTCCCACCCAGACACGCTAACAATAGCTTAGCATTTCCGAGTGTTTTGGACAGTGACAGCTGTGAGCTGCAGCTCCATGACATCTGTGGACGGGCCTCCAGACACGAACTTATCAGCTCTGTATCTTTGTATCTCCTAAACCCTTTTGTACGCGTACTAAAGCATGTTCGGAGTGCGTAGCGCGTCGTGTTTGTTGAGTATTTGATCTTAATCCGCACGAGTTCTAGACCTCGTGCAAGAGACGTGAGAGCCTGATATCAGGCGGTTGTGCTTGTATTTAACTATGTTGTCTTTTGTCTTGTCAGAACTACTCAGAGTCGTTTTATGCTGAAATGGGAAAACGCCCCTCCAGCAAGATTTAAAAACACAGGTAAGTTGCTACAATGAGTGTGCCAAAACAACATTTGATACAGTGAATATGAAGTCTGGGGCCACTCCCCCATTGCTTGAATAAGAAAAGGCTTATTATTACTTTAGGTTGTGTGTCTGATAAAGACCTGCCTGTCAGGGGCTGTGCAGCCTTCTCACCTGTATCATTTCATAGATATCTGAAGGCTAGTGTGGGTGTGTGGGAAAGGAATGCTGGAGAACTGTTAATTGTTGTACCTGAACATTGTGTAATGCATGTCCGTGCATTTGCTTTCTGAGAAAGATATTCACCAGTATTTGTATGTATTGATGGGTTTCAACTTCCTGTATATAAGCCACATTTTGACCATTCAAAAGACAATATATATATTAAATTGTTAATTGCTATGGCAGCCATGAATAAAGGCTATCATGCATTTACTTAGGAAAATATCTCCGTTACTGGGTATAAAATTCATCACATTATTACGTTATTAAGGTCATCATGCATATCTAGGCCCCTGCCTGAATCAGTTTTCTGCCCTGTTGCTATTGTAGGTCAATTTAACCAGCAGACTAGACCAGTAAACATGCCCTGACCTGCTGTAGCACAGTTTGAATGACATAATCACTAGCATTATTATATCCTTTTCAATGGTTCCCAAAGTACAGTATAATGCCAGTCCTGTGGTTATTTACTAAACATGTTTGTGGTAACATTTGAAGATAAATGGCATTTCTGAAAACACTATCTCATTGTTTCCAAGCCCTCTGTGGTGTAATGTCCGTATCCCCAGCAGAACCCCACGGCTGGAGAACGCATATTTGCAGAGTGCGCGAAACAGAGACCGACAAACCACTCAGCAAAGCCCATGCCTTTCTAAACATCCATCACTGATTTGCTGCCAAGTTAGAAGCTTGCATAGTGCACTGTGAGGGATCATAAAATGTGTTCCATCGGGCCCTTTGTAGACTCACTTGATAGACTTTGTGGAGGTTAGAGCAATGCAAACCTGCTCACATTAAAAACAATTTTAGTCAGCTTGTGCATTTATTAAGTTAGCGTTGCCTTAGGGCTATAAATGAAGTAAATGATTGTGACATTACTGATAGATCTTGCTGTGCATTGCTAGAGAAAGTATTATCGAATGTATAGAATTGAGGTTTCCTTCATGGATCTAAATGCACATAGCTGCTTGAATTCAGTGTTACTTAGGCCAGATCATTGACCCATAGACCAAATATTTGTTTGCAGAAGTGACAAAGCAAGTTGGGCCACACAGTTGACCCAGTTGTTCGAGTTCTCCCAGAAGAAACAGGCCAAATTTACATGCATTCAGGAAAATCTAATCAAATGAAAGCCATTTAAATGTTCATCTGTGATAGAGACATTGAAATTCTGTGTTATGGCAGCCCTTCACTGCCAGCACAGCCATTGTTATATTTGCCTGTGATGTATAGGGGTGTGCAGAAATATCAAAATATCAATACATCATATTGTTTACTGTGGTGATACAGCAGCCCTTGATATCAATACTATATTGATGTATCAGCAAGAATATGTTTTGGTATATTTTACTAAACTATTTTGTTACAGTGCTGCAATTTGGTTGTTTGTTTAGAGGAAGGAAATTCTTTTATGCAACAATTTTGACGTATTCACTGTTTCGATGATTAAAATGGGTGTGTTTCATATTAACTTTGCACAAGAATTGGTTTAACAAAGATTTAGCCATTATTTTTTATTGAACCACATTGAATCGATTTGAAATGCATCACATTGTATCATAATGAATCAAAAGCTCAGTGTATCGAGATACACATCGTATAGTGCATCATATCAGCAACTTTTTAATGATACCCAGCCCTAATGAGGTATAATACTCCTTACAACAGAAGCATAGCCAGATTTGAATAGACTCTTAAGTGATATTATACTAGTGCAAAATTACAAGTACAAAACTAATCAACACAGAAACTAGTATCGAAACTTGTTATTCATTTGAACAAGTATCCATACTGAAAAAATATTACTAAAGCTCTACAGCCAGTCTTGTCCAAGATTTATAGAAATGCGTATAGGCCCACGTGATGATCATTATTATTTTGTGTCATTAAATTACATTCTGTTGTCTTAACAAAAGAGTCTTTATATTGTAAGTGTGGTATCAAAATTGGCATTGAGTATAGAATCTATTCCTTGGTATCCAAACTGAGTTTGAAATTTTAGTACTGTGACAACACAAATTTGCAATATTATAGCATGCCTTCTGAAACTATCAATATAACCCTCAATTGAATGCACAAATTCTATGCAGGTATAGCAACTAGCCTAAAACCATTGCAACTCTAAAGAATTGCGATACATATTAGATTTTTTTTTCCTAATCAGATGATGTGCCTTGCTTTGATGTGGTGACCTTTGTAGCGTTAATCAGTCACTTTAGCTCATTTTCCAGCCCAGAGGACATCTGGCCTGCTGCCACATGAATTATATGCAGTAAACAGACATGCACAAACACATCCTACACTCCCTAATTTAACTCTTTTTGACGGCAACTCGTTAAATATTGGGAAATACCGTGCTTTAAATAGTGAAAGTGAGAATATTTGTAAAGCAGCAGCCACAGCAACCGTAGTTAAAGTTCAAACATGCAAATTCTTTTCTAATGGCTGATTTAATCCGCTAGACTCCAGCTGCATTCTTCTACAGACCTGTTGTGTGTGTGTGTGAGAAATACACTGACAAAAGCATAAAATGGTAATGGAGCAGCCTGACAGACAAGAAAACCTTACTAAGTGCTTGGGGCAGTTATTCTGTCGCTTTTGTAATGATCCTTCTTGGAGGGATCTGATGATGTTGGTATTTTAACTTAATATATTTATCACTGCAGGTCTGTCTGTCTGTCACCATGGCAACGGTGGATCCACAGAAGGGTTCTGTTAGGATGGAAGTCACCGGGACCCCAGGGTCAGCCCCGAGTCCACAGAGTGAGGCCGTGACCAATGAGATGCAGGAGTTAACTCTTCAGCCCGCCCCCAAACTGCCCCCCATAAAGGAACGCAAAAACGGTAGGACATTTGAATTTCTATGGTCTTTTGATGATTTGGAAAGAAATACAACTATGCTTTGTTTGTATTGGAGAAAGACACTCAACTAACCAGTTTATTTATTTTTCAAAAGTAACTCTGGTTCTATGAATACCAGATTACCTCCGGAGGGTGGTGCTTTGCTAGCCCTTTTAAGATTCTTTTAGTGTTTGTGTATATCTGGTGAATATTTGGCTCTAAGCTTGCTATCCTTTGCTGAAGTGGACCATCTGTAGCATAAATAGATCCTAGCTTTGTCCCTGTCACATAAGTGTGGAGTTAAAGTGGAAAACTGTTTGAAAAAGCCACCAGCCAAAAGTGAATAGATGACCTTGTCTGATTGTTGTCTCTTTGTCTGCTGTATCTGTTCAGTGCATGCATACAGTGATAGAAGAAGCCGTCATTGTTGTTGTATCTGACCTGCTGTTAGAGTAGATTAGACTGTGGCCCTCTGCAGAGCGCTGTCTGCACATCCAGGCTACATGCTCACTACTGTGAGGATTTAAACTCTGAGGAGGTCTGGAAGAGGCTTAGATCACACAGGGGAGGTGGCACGCTTTCCTCTCACTTAAAAAAAAGATGGAGACCTTGACTTTATATATCTGGCTCAGTTAGCTTTATTCTGCCAAAGGAACTTGCTAATAAAATTAGAATGTGATGTTTATGACTCATAATTTTTTATGAGTGTTGTTGACAATGTCACTCAAACACTATTTAAAATGACTATGCAGTGCACCTGTACCTATACAGTGACTGGAATAGACAATGCAAATGACATCAGCACATTTTATAATTCAATGTAGTTCCAGGTAAGTGAACATAATAAGCCACAGAGAACATAAATAATCGTTGCTTTGGTTTTAATAATTAGCATTTGAATATATTGTTTGATGTGAAGTACAGCAGAAGTTAAATCATTATTTCATTACTCATAACCTGTGGTGCAGTTTGTTTTGTTCCCTGACAGCAGCAACGTATAGCAGGCGCATTTTAACATCTGTCTTTAAGAGCCCATATGAGAGCCCAGTGTTTTGACAGAGCTTCCTGTGTTTGGGTTTTATGGGACAATGACATAATAAGTTCAAAGTATCTCTTAGTATGTACTTTTTATATACCAGGCTTAAGTGTCATTACAGTGTGGACTATAATAATTTTACATTCTATTCCAAGTAGTGCTCACTTTTTGCAGTTTGTAAAGACTAGCTGCTAAGTTATCAGATGTTGTGCCATCATAAACACACCTCTTACACACCATATATTATCAGGACTACTTCACACCGGCCATTGTTCCTAACCGGTGTTTCCTCTTGTTTTCGCTGAACTCACAATGAGGTAACGGGGTGATTTAATGTGAGACTCACTATGGTAAAGAAGGGCTTGTCAGGTTTAATGATTTGTAATTAATTGGAAAATAGTAGCTGAGTTTGGGCATGTAGCGCTGAATCTTCAGTGACTAGTTGGATAACCATACGACAGGCAAGCTACAGACTGACTGCTATTGCTAGTATGAGTCAACAAATTAACCTTTTACATCACTTGTTGATGTAGAGGGGTAATTATTGCAAACATGGCAACCAGCGGTAAATTGATAAAAAAAAAACAAAAAAAAAAACACACATTACAGCAACTTCCAATTGCATTTTCAGTTATAAATGCAATTGTTACTTGCCTTCTTAATCCAATTCTAATGAATGATCACAATGATAAAATGGTGAAAGAACAGGGCAGATACTACTCATTATCCAATTCAAAACTATTTTTGGAAGTACACTACACAAGTATACTAACTTGGCTTCAATAGGTTCTCGTATAAGAGTTTTAAAGTTACTAGGTCAGTGTTAAAGATGTGCATGTGGGTACTTGTGCATTTGTACCTCACATAATCACAAAGGGAAACTCAAACTAAGTCTCTGAAAGCCCGGGGCCACCACTCCCAACAGGACTTCTCTTTACAAAACTTTTACCTAGCCGAAGACATGTCGCTGCAGGCACTGCTGCTTTAGCATGCCTCACAACACTAGCCAAATGTGGCTGCCTCTCCCTTTGCTTACATTACTCTATGTCACAGAGACAGAATGCCCACATAATGACACTTATCGAAGTTTAACATCAGTCACCTGGTTATGCAATATGTTTATGATGGGGTGGCTTCGTCTGTGTTAGCTGAACTGTAAAGACATTGTGTATATACAGAGCACCGGCATGTTTTCCAGAAAGTGGATTAAAGGCAGCTGTCAACACGTCTTTTTTCCACACAAAGATGAAGAATTTATCAACAAAGTGGCAATGGCACCATGATATTAGCCCTGTGCAAACTTAGAAGGTGGAGTGTGGGCTGCACTAGAAGGAGGAAGAGTCCGAGCGGAGGAGGGGGAGGTCGTGTCTGTAATGGCAGGATTGCATAACTTCTCAGAGGAGCA